TCAAAAACAAGATTGACGCAATTCGTAGGGGCATCGCCACTGCACAGACATCCATCCCACTTAGCATACCTTATACTAAACCTCCCTCAACAGTTTCTTCTTTTGACCTTGCTACTACCGAACAGGTCACTAAGGTTTTCTCAGAAGCCCATCTCACTACCTGCCCCCTGGACAACTACTAAGGTCACCCTCTTCTTCCATCCTATGCTCCCTCACTCACATCTTCAATCTTTCCCTCTCTACTAGTGCCTTCCCCTCCCCTGTAAAGCATGCGCACATCCCTCCCATACTTAAAAAGCCCTCCCTGGACCCCACCAACCTGAACAACTTAAGTCCCATCTCCCTGCCTCCATTTACCTCTAAACTCCTAGAACGCTTAGTCTACAATCGCCTGAGCTCCCACCTCACTGACAACAACCTTCTTGACCCTTTACAGTCTGGCTTTTGCTCACTCCACTCAACTGAAACTGCCCTACTACAACTCACTAATGATCTACTAACTGCTAAAACCAATGGCCACTACTCCATACTCTTACTACTTGACCTCTCTGCGGCTTTTGATACGGTTGACCATCCCCTCCTTCTCAAAAAACTCCACTCTCTTGGCCTCAGAGTCTCTGCTCTCTCTCCTGGTTCTCCTCCTACCTATCGCAGTGCTCCTTCGGCGTTGCCTATAACGCTGCCTCCTCCTCTTCACTCCCTCTTTCTGTAGGGGTCCCTCAAGGTTTTGTCCTTGGACCCCCATGGCTTTAAGTACCATCTTGATGCTGATGACACACAAATCTATCTTTCTACCCCTCACCTCACCCCTTCATTCTCCTCTCGCATTACTAACCTACTAAGTGACATATCAGCATGGATGTCACTCCACTTCATCAAACTCAATGTTTCCAAAACTGAGCTCTTAGTATTCCCTCCAGCCCATGCCCCCTCCCCTGACTTCTCCATCAAGATCAATAACACAATCATCAGTCCCTCCCCTCATGCCAGGGTACTAGGTGTAATCCTAGACTCCCATCTGTCCTTTAAGCCCCAAATCCACTCACTGTCCAAATCTTGTAGACTTCACCTCCACAACATCTCCAAGATACGCCCGTTCCTAACCTCGGAAACCACTAGGCAACTTATTCACTCCCTTGTTATATCTCGCCTTGACTATTGTAACTCCCGCCTCATTGGCCTACCTAATCACAGGCTATCCTCTCTTCAGTCTATCATGAATGCTGCTGCCAGACTCATCCACCTTACTAACTGTTCTGTATCTGCCACCCCTCTCTGCCAATCCCTCAACTGGCTTCCCATTGCCCAATGGATAAAATTCAAAACATTAACAATAATGTATAAAGCCATTTATAACTCTGCCCCAAATTACATCACCGATCTTGTCTCTAAATATCACCCAAACCATACTCTCCGCTCCTTGCAAGACCTCCTACTCTCTAGGACCCTTGTCTCCTCCTCCCATGCTAGTCTCCAGGACTTCTCCAGAGTTTCCCCCATCCTCTGGAACTCTCTACCCCCAATTTATCAGACTATCTCCTACTCTGCTCACTTTTAGGCGATCTCTGAAAACCTATCTCTTCAGGGAAGCCTATCCTGCCCTCAGCTAATAATGGAATCTTCCACTCTTCCAACCAGTCCATTCCCCACAGTTACTACTTTTTGTACCACTAGCCCCTCCTTCCTAGATTGTAAGCTCCAAGGAGCAGGGCCCTCCTATCCGTCTTGTATTGAACTGTATTGTTGCTGTATTGTCTCCCATTATATTGTAAAGCGCTGAGCAAAACTGTTGGCGCTATATAAATCCTGTATAATAATAATAATACACGCATACACATTTCATATGCGTTGCAAACCAGGCTGTTACTAACAACAGCTGTCACAGTAAATGGGGAAAAAAAGGGCAATATGATGACAAAAGGAACAAAATACCTCCAGTCAGGAAAGGGTTATAAGACATATTGATCAAATTGTATTTATTGTTGCATGGTATTTTCCTCAGTACAGAACGCCTTGCTTTTATGAATACTTGTGTACAGCTGACTCCCCAGTCACCATAATAAACAGTAAACACACTTCCGATAATATCCCATTTACCCTAAATCTGCTGTTAATTTGGAAACATATCAGGAACAAATAACCTCCAAATTGCAGAGAAAACATTGTTGCTCAACTATAGCCCTATTGTATTTCATGACCGGCCTTTTGGGTACGATAATGCGTTTTGTTAAATGCATCTCATAAATTCGCAGCATTATTAGGGCGCAACTGCTTATTTTTAAATAAATAGTTTTCTACAGAGGTAACTAAACATCTGTTGTTTTCTATAGTATTTTTTTCTACATACATTCGACAGAGGGAAACATAGCATAAAAGGTCATTGAGAACATAATATTTTCAAGTGTTCATTACTGTAACCCCCCCCCCCCCCTTCACCAAAAAAGGCTAGATTTAGTGCTGGTTCACATATATGCAGATTTTATGCGGTCTGAATCGCATCCAATCCACATGACATGTGAAGTAACATTGCTTCCTATGGTGCCTGTTCACATATGTCCGGTGCGCTGACAATGTGGGTTCAGTGTGGTTTGAAAAAGAGTCCCTGTATGATTTCCAAGCAGTGCGGTCTGGTTCAGGTGCAGATTACAGGCTATTGACTTCTATGGGAACAGTTTCTAAACCACATATGTGTGAACAGGATAATCCTGACAACTAATCCTGTCCTGAACCTGATGTAAACCTGACATGAACTGCTGAACAACTACTGTATAAATTAGCTGTGAAACCTGAGCTTCAATCCGCAGTGCACATGTGTGAATCAGCTCTTAAAGGAAAGAAAAATGTGTTTCATTGGCACATAGTCTGGGAAATTACTGTAATGTTTGCTTAAAGAAGGATTTCATGCTTGGACCAATGTTAACTATGTATTTACCATATCTGGCTGATGCACCTGGAAGCTGGAAATCACCAAAGTAGACTCCATTACTCCAGTGATCGCCACGTGTTTCCGGGTCCTGTGCTGAAAGGCTGGCCCGATGCATTGTGAGCACAGGAGATTGGTTGTTCAACGCAGATGCAATTCAGAGAATGCAATTTTTGAATGAATGCAAAGTGTTCTCTGATTGGACAAGGTGGGGCGGTGATTTTATGCTCTCCATCTCATCCAATCAGAAAGTGCTTTGCATTCATTCAGAAAATGCTAAGTATTCCCTGAAGGGTGCCCATGTCAAGTCGCCAAACTCCTGTATACACAGTGCATCAAGACAGCGATTTATTTTTTCTGTCTGTTTATCTTGGTTATTATTCTATTCCCCTTTTTATTATTTTTTCGCCCCCCCCCCCTGATCTAAGCTTGTACTTTATTACTTTAGTCTCTTTTTTTATTGTCTTTACTAGAATCTTCTATCTTTCTGTGTATTCTTTGTAAACCCTTAATAAACTTAGTTTGAACATGAAAAAAAAAAAGAAAAAAGACAGCTGCACAATACGAGACCTGAAAGCAAGTGGAGATCACTGGAGTAGTGGTGTCTATATAAGTGATTTCCATCTTCGGGGGGCATTGACCAGGCATGGTATATACATAGTTACATTGGTCCAAGCTGTAAAAAATACTATGCCTGGAATTAATCTTTAAAGGGTCAGCCCCATCCAAAAGTGATATTTTATTGAAACGTGGAACCTGGAGGGCTGGGTTAGCCCCTGGCTTCCTATATTTTTTTTGGAAAGTGCAATAATGACTTCTTCCTGTTATAATTCCCGACTTTTGATCCTGCCCTTTTGGAAGTTTCAGACATCTGTTCCCACTTGCATGTGTTCCATCTCCTCAATAATGTAAAATATCTAAAATAAATAAAAGCCAGCATGTATGGTGGGAGCCTCATAACAGCCATAGATTAATTTACTAAGGGCAAATAGACTGTTGACTTTGCAAGGGAATTATCTCCAGAGCTTAGTGAATGAGGCAATGCTCTGCTGACTTCTATTATCCAATCATGTGCAAGCAAACCTGCGGGTTTTTTTTTAATTTTCCTTGTACTTGACTTGGTGTTGAGCACATTTACTAAGCTCTTGGGAAACTTTCCTTGCAAAGTGAACAGCCTAATTGCCTTTAGCAAATCAACTCCAGTGTGTGTGCATTCCCAGGAACTTTGAGGTCACACCAGCATAGGGATGTCCTATTTACACTTTTACACTGTGTTAACGTACATTAACCACTTCCCATCTGGCCCATGTATATAAACGGCCGGACGGGAGCAGTGCAGGGGCGGGTGGCCGTTCATAAACGGCGCCCACCATTTTAGCCTGTGCGCGCTTCCTGGGAGCAAGCCCGCTGTGTCCGGAGGAAACATCGATTGCTGTAGGAGACCCCTGTGTGAGGTTTTGATCATGTGATCACTGATTGGCCAATCAGTGATCACATGAATAGTAGTAAGCAAGATGTCACTTCTGACATCATTGCTTACTACTTGTGAAATCTGTGAATGATCACAGAGATCATATGGTACAAGGCTATTCACAGCAGCCTTGTACCATGTGACAAGCTGTGACCAATCACAGCTCTCACAGTATTTCTCAATGGCTGCAAGAATGCAGCCCGAGAGAAAGAGAAATGATTGCTTTTACAGCCTATATAGGTGTAAAGCAATCAATGTAAAAAAAAAAGCTTCATCACCCTCCACAAGTAGTACAGTGTCACTAGGGAAAAAGAGTTCAGAGTTAGACTTTAAAGAAAATCTAAAGTGAGAGAAATATGTTGGATTCTGTTCTTGGCAGCAACTATCTTGCTCTGGGTTTCAATGCTTTCTGGATCACAGACATTGAACAAGAATACAATAAGTGAACTTAATGTGAAGAGCACTTGTTCTCCATTATTGGACAGCCTTGGTCCCAAAGCCATGGACGTTTAGGAGCAAGTACCTCTGTATTAGCACAGGTCAAAACAAGCCAAAAGTTTGTTTCCTCTTAATTTTTTTATATTCTGTATGTATTTTTTCTTTCAGTGTCTGCCAAGACAGGAAATGGCAGTGCACAAACAAAGTATGTGATGGCACATGTTCTGCAATAGGAGTATCCCATTACTTGACGTTTGATGGTATGAAGTATAATTTCCCAGGTGACTGTCAGTACGTCATGGTTCAGGTAAGTGTTAATCTGACATAGCATTGTCTGAAGTTGAGCAAAAGAGTGAAAAAAACAAACAAAATCAAGTTAATAGCATCCTGGTTTATTTATGAATGTTTATTGCATGGTGGTTTGTGTTTGCCAGAGTGTATACGATTTGATGCTAGACTTTCATGCCATGCGACTTTGCCTGGGTAATCTTTCTGTAATGTCGGATCCAAATCACATTAATATAGATGAGGATCCAACTTGAAAGCAAATTTCATTAAAGTCTATGGACACAAGTTGGATAGAAGTCGCCTTGACATAGTACAGGAACCTTCAGGAGTGCTAATTAAAACAGCTCTCATTGACTAACATAGGATTTCATAGGTCATGTGACTTGGGGTCCCACAAGTCAGATCCCAGGTCATGGCAGAGTGAAACCTCTAGGTGAAAAACAGATTCTTTTTTTTTTTTAATTGACAATTGAAGTTGAAGTATTAAAATATGCTGGCCATCAAGCTTTGTGTATTGATACCCATATACAATGCACGGTTAATAGATTCGTAGGGGCATTACTGGCAGTACCAACATGATGGGGCTTTCCCCATAAATGTCCATGATGATGTGTCTACCATACAAACAAAAGAGATTAAACAATTCACAAGTGTATTTTTATATGTGGCTAACACTCTCATAACACACAGGAAATGCTCCAAAGTTGACATTCTGTTTTCCTCCAGGATTACTGCAATGGAGGAACTGGATCCTTCCGTATCCTTGTTGGCAATGTGGGTTGTGGTTTCACAGGAGAGAAATGTTCCAAGAAAATTACAATTTACTTTAGAAATGGTGAAATTGAGCTGGCAAATGAACAGGTATGTATTAGAGACAGACACATAAATAAGCAGATATCATATTATTATCTGGGGTTGTCATACTCTTTTGCCTTCTGTTCATCAAATTCAAAGGATCTTATCTTTGGATAAACTTGCATTCTTAAAGTGAATGTAAACCCAAAATCTGTTTTTGCAGTAAGTCTGGCATTATGTCACATTGTATACAGCTTTCTTAAAGATGAATTCCAGCCTTCTGCTCAGTCTTGTACAGTTGTACAGGTTCTTCTATACTGACATTTCATGCGATGATTTCACTGCACAGTGAGCTTGTCACAATGTGCTGTAGCTCCCTTGTCCTAAACAGGGGCTACTAGCCTACATTTTGTTTTTGGCTGGGTGGTAGTCAGCCGAGACTAATTGTGTAGTTCTTCATATGTTCTTCCTTATGAAATTTCATAAACAAGAGTTATGAATACTTATATTTCCTTCAGCCAATCCAGTAGGAGGTTTAGACCACTGGTGCATGCTGGGGTGGGTATAAATAGGTCATGTGTTCACTTTCTTTGCCCAGACTGAGGCCTGGGGAGGTGCTGCTGGATGGAGCTCTGCTGCTAGGCTCCATAGCCTGTTTGCGACCTTATATGTGCTATAGTGGTCCTAAAGCTATCCTACCTGGTGTAGAGGAAGCTGTGCCAAGGAGAAGATCCAGGGGAGGCCCCTTGCTAGAGAGAGCCAGGATGAAGGCTTCTCTCAGAAGGGCCTTGTGACTCATTTGAAGGACGCACTGAAATTTGGAAACATGCTTACAGTGTTGCCGAATCGGTTTAAATGTTCTGACACTGTTTAGTTGGTCTTTGATTTGAAGCAGGAGAGTCTGTAAGTTATCTGCTATGGTATCTGGGACTCCTAACCCTCACTTTCTTAACCCCCCTAACTATACTGCAATAAAACTCTAAAAAGACCAAAGTGACTGGCACCCAGTATTCTTTCTCAGTTCCCCATTTTAGCCTTGGACTCAGCCCTGCTGTGAAATGCTAGCCCGCCCTTGCCTCTAAAGGTATCACCCTGCCTTTGAGGTGTCGGGAAGGGGGGTACTATGATGCAACAAGGCAGATAGTGCCAGCCTCATTTCCTTGATGAAAGACATCCAGCATTTTCTAGCACTTTTCTTCCCAGCCTTACTGATTTCATTTCTTCAAATAAAGAGGCTGAGCATAACGTTTTGGTGTTACAAAGGGCTGACATTCCACAATCCCCTCTATGTTTCCATAGTTGGAGGGCAGAAAATGAGTGCTGGGATCTCGGAACTTTTGACAACTTGCAGTCATGGTTTGGTGCTTCCTAGCCTTAACTCCATGGGTTCCTTTGGTCAGACATTTGCCAAAACTAAAGCAGTTATGACATGGAGCCCATGGGTTGGCACACCTCTAAAGCCATGGTTCCATCCCTCTGAGGTAATATGCTAGCCTTTCATTGAGGCCTGTTTCCAACATGGCATCATCTGCAAATCACCAAATTATCAATTTTCTACTCAAATGCCAAGTCAAAGCACATGCTAAGAATAAGGCTCCCTCTCGCTCAAAGTTTCACCTAGAGGTGGAGCTCTTCTTCATTCACACCATGTCAAACCAATGGACTTCCAGAATCCTGCAATTTAACTTATTCTTGCCTGTACCTCAGATGACTCTCTTGATCTATCGGAGTACCAACCCACTCAGCATTTCCCAGAATCCTCTCACACATACTCCATTGCAAAGGACAGGAGACATCCCCATACAGGATAGAGGAAGGAGCAGTCAACACAAGATGTTTCTTTCTTAAGGTTTACTAAATTAATGAATGCAGGATACAAGTCAGCCTCCCAGATGGGCAGCGACAGAGCTACAGTTTGTAGCAATATACAGAGGCAGGATTGTGGCTAGGCAAATCCGAAATAACATAGGATTACTGTGGCCAGATTTATGGTTTACTTACACTTTAAAAAGGATTTTGGTTGGTGGCTGATATATTTGCTAACATTTTCATGGATTCCAGTAAAGGGATCTTAACTCAACATATCAAAATGATTTTTTTTCTTTATGATGTTTTTAACCAATCCATGGCATCTGCATATGAATAAACTAATGTAAGCCAGGTAGCCAACTGCTATGCTTGAAACTTTGCAATGTTTCATTTAGGTGGATGAAGCTAGGATCTTGCACAGGGGAATGGGCATATCCTTTCCAGCTCTGGGAAGATTTATGTTTCCATTAACTAAAAAAAAAAGCCTAATGTTACTTATTCCACTTTTATAAAGTATTGGCATTTTTCTCTTTATCTTGAAGACAGTTTGCGTGTGAACTACATATTATGCATTTTTATTGGTATTTACTCCTTAGGCCACCATTAGAAAGCCTCTGAGTGATGAGACCGGTTTTGATATGCTGCAGTCTGGAAACTTCTTTATCCTCATACTTGGAAGTGAAATGTCTGTAACTTGGGACAAGGGGATGAGAGTTTACGTCACTTTGAAGGAGACCTTAAGGGTAAAAAAAAATAAATTAAAATTTCTTTTATTTTTACCAGTTTTGGCATGCATATATCAAAATATAAAATGCGTTTTATTGGCTTGGTTTAGCTCAGCTTACAGATGATAATTTAAATGGGTCAGAATGTTCAACAAACGGGATGATGCTTTGGGGCTAAATACATTAGAAATAAAGAAAAGAAAAAGCTCTATATGTGGACTACAGAACACCTCCCCATATGTTATGGAAAGAGTAGAGGAAAATCTGTTCTGAAGTCCTGCTCTAGGGTGACAACAATTCACCTCTATAGATATAGTACAGCGGGTGAGCACTGTCACCTGAGGACAGGAAGTGTGTTACTGGCAGGATCACAGGCTGCATATAAAGGAAGAAAAAAACTGAAAAAAGGTAAACTAATGCAGGCAGTATATCTAAGATTTTGTAAGCTGCAATATAGTACATTTTTGTTCCTGAATTTAGATACACTTTAAAGCTCACCTTACACATTGGAAGATTAAGCTGCCAATGCCTCTGCTTCTTGGCTTGGATATCCAATCAACAAAAAAAGTTTGTCTACAATGACACCTAAATGTAGCAGACATTCAGCACCTGCTCTGATATGTAGGGGATGATACCAGGGACCATGGTCATCATATGACACTTCTTCCGTTTTTATCAGATTCAAGTCAGGATAGGCTCAGGAACCCAGAGCTTGTTGTATGCAAATGCTGACTTTCCGTCATTACCAATATAACGGGAATCTATTGTTTTAGGTCAATTCCAATTGGTTTCCAATTGGTTTACTTTTTTTAAGAATAAGATTATGTTTTATAGCAGTTTTTTAAACAAATATTCTTTGTTTTACAAAGTATCTTTTTGTATATAAAAAGGGTTCTGAGAGCACTATAGGTCTTCTAAAAAGAACAGTGGAACTAATCTCCTTTTAGGTAAAATCCCTCTGATTGAAACCTCGATTGAGCAGTAGAGAGGGATGGGAGAGAATGGAGTGGAGCAGTCCTTCCTCTGTTAGTTCACTTACTGTGTGTGTAAATTTCAAATTGAGCTACTGAGCAATGTGAACAGGTTTTTTCCAGTATAGGAGTTTGTGCACCTACAGGCTCCAGCTATAAATCTTCTGTTGATTTTGCATAATATTATTCAGTGGACATTTCTTTAATCCAGGAAAAAACTAGAAAACAAGAACTACTACCATGCAATGAGCAAACATAGAGTTTGGTATGTAGTGAATGATTCATTGTTCTAGCACACTTGAAAGACTTTATTCCCCTACAGGTGCATGTGTTTAAGTTCAAGTAACACATTAAATATAATACTCAAAATTAATAAACTCTACCTTATAGCTGAAAAGTTTGGCTGCATATGATCATTTAAAGTGTGATGGGTTTGTGATATAGGTGTCATGTCTTGGTCACAATTCATGTGTAGTGTCACAAACTGTTTTTATTGAAGTGTTAAAACTAATGTCAGCCAAAGTGTGACTGTGATTGACAGCAGAGCAACTCTTTCACTGTGCTTGACTTGACCTATGAAATACACACCACAATTATTCATTCCCACTAAGCTGTTATTTATTTCTCCAAGAATTGGCTGTTTCTGGCCTTGAGTTAATTCTGAGTTGAGTTGCCTCAGCATCAGCTAATAGCCCAGCTTCAGTCATTTTTCCTCCCCTTTCCCTTTAAAAATTGAAAGCAAACATATCTTAATTTCAAGTAAATTCCATGTGGTCATGTGGTGAGCGCTGTCCTTAATCCCCTTCCCTAGCACTGGAAGTGGATGGTCTTCACTGCTGCATAGAAAAGCATTCACGTACCATTCTATTCCTAGGGCTTCTCATTGCCTAATATGCAGCTCAGTGTACCGTCTGGACAGGCCTTAGGTGCCGAGATGAGTTAACCCCCCCTGCATATGCATAGAAATGATGTCATCCCAGGCTGGCCAGTCAGGATGGCCGAAGACGCTAAGCCCAGAAAAAGACCTGGTGAAGTTAGCAGCAGCAGGGACTAGGAAGACTGTAGACATTGCATCAATGGAGAGGTCCCTTTGAGAAGTGACTGCAATGAACTTCCCCTTTAACAATATTACATTTTTAAAATTAATTTGAATCAAGTAATTATGCATATGGATATTGCATGTTTATATTTTGCAGCCAGTAGATGAGAGATCTAGGCTGGCCCATTTATAATAAGGATCCACCCGTCCCCTTGTTTTCTCATAGCAGAAATGAAATGTATAAATCTGCCAGTCAAACTCTGGCCACCATTAAGGATGGTGGGCTCTTCTACTAGAAAGCCTGGCATTGTATGTAAACAGAATACACCATGTATTTTTAATATGTGTATACACAGTATACAGGGTGTCCCAAAAGTCTGAATCCATAGGCAACGAATTATTAGAAATCATAATTTCCATCTGTGTAAAGTACAGCTGGTCCAGGAACTGCATGGCGATGACACAGAAAGGCATATAGAACATGGAATATGGTAAGTGGTTCTTACAACAGCATAAACTAATGGTGTTATACAGTGATGTAGCCCATTTCATCTTAGTGGTAGCATCAGCTGGCACAATGAATGCTACTAGTCTGAAAACAAGCCAAACTGGATGGCTGAAGGCCATTTTCAAAGTGATCCATGAATTATGGTGGGGCAGGGATATTGGTGACATATTAATTGGGCCATATTTTTTTTATAGTAATGTAACAGGGGAAACGTACCTGTGTATGTTACAATCTATTCCTATTTGTCAATTAAATTACATTAGTTTGTTGGAATGACATAAAGGGGGGGATTTACTAAAAGTGGTGCACTCAGAATCTGGTGCAGCTGTGCATGGTATCCAATCAGCTTCTAACTTCAGCTTGTTCAATTAAGCTTTCACAATAAAACCTGGAAGTCGATTGGGTTCCCTGCAGAGCTGCACCAGATTTTGCACTCTTCAGTTTTAGTAAATGCCCCCCCAAAATGTAGTTTCAGTAAGAAACTATTGCTGTGAGAAAATTTTCAAATCAATCTTTTACAATCAGGTGGCTTGGGAGGTGAGGCCCAGATGAATGGCTGCATATGCCTCCAGATCTGACACATTTTTCTTTGCGGTCATCTGAAGTTAGTAGTTTGTTAAAATAATTGCTGCAGAACATTTACACTGGCCATACATTATACAATTTTCTTATTCAGTTTTCTTTAGATTCACCTTCAACTATATAGTGCAAGGGCCTGCCTGATTGCATACAAATTTGAAAGTGTTTCGGTTTGACCTCATATTAAGTGGCTTTGGTAAATCTAATGGAATATTGTACAAAAAAATTGTATAATGTATGGACAGCATTAGTGTTGCAAAATCCAAGGCTGTCAATTTGAGCATTTACTGTGGTAAAACTTTTAAATACTTTTTAAAAAAAATCAGGTTATACATTTATAAACTTGAAAAAAATAACAAAAGCATTATATTACCGCAAAAAATTCCTGTTAAGTTTAGCAGTGGTTTATATATTGACTTGTACAATTTCCATTTTTATTCCATTACTTACGTTTGTTTATAGTTTTGGGAAGTACTGAAAATGTAAATCATTTGGTATAAATAAAATTAGTGGTCTATAAACCAGTGTGCTTTAAAAGTGTAAAAAAAGAATAAAACTCTATAAATCTCTCATAAACGTTGAAAAAAATAGAAATATAAGAACAAAATATCTTAGTTGTTTCAGAGAGCTATTTTCCTCTTATAATAAAATAACACTCAGTAAAATATTTTTTTCTGTTGGTTTAACCAATGTTGACTTTTTCTTTTCCCAGGAGAAAGTCTGTGGTTTGTGCGGAAACTTCGATGGAATTGAAAACAATGATTTAGTAAGCAGCCATAATCAGGTGGAAATTAACCCAAGCAACTTTGGAAACTCATGGAAAGTGAATCCTCTTTGTGCTGATGCTGCAATGGTGAGTCCAAAGATTCATCGTTAAGTTTGATATATTTATATAAAAATAATATATCATTTTTTGGGTGTTATTTAAGGGCTTGTGTTATAAAAACATGGTTCTGGAACTAAGAATATAATTCTTATATATATATGAAAAATTATTTATTTGTATTATATACATATACATATATATATATATATATATATACATGGTGGTATCAAGTTTTGAGACTGGTTTTGTAATATTGCACATGCGTTGGGTGAATTTAGGCAAGTCAAGCATTTGAGCAATAATGGATTCCATTGACCAGAAAATTTGCTTTTTCTGGCCATTGGAATGAATGAAACACTCAATCGTTAAACACATCTAGCATTTAAGCATGTTTACACGCGTTCAGTGTTTTTTTTTCTGCTCAAAAGCTCCTCTCCTGAATGCACTGGTGAAGGGTTTTGTTTTATACTGGTAAACACTTCTCTTCTAACATGCCTGTAAACCCCTATGTGTGCATGGACACATAGGCTAACATAAAGGTGAGTTTACAGGCAGAAAAAAAAATGTTTTTTAAGCTCAGTGTGCATGAGCTCTATCTATTTGGCTCTCTGATGACAAGGCTTATTGAATCCCCAGGTATACACACATTCCTCAGTATAAGGGCTACCCTGACTACCCTTTGAATCTATTTTATAATACAGAAAATTGAGCAGGAAGACTGTGAACACCACACACTGTATTGAAATGCTCAAGATGCATTTGACTAACACTAGCACAAAATATAACTGAAATATACATTTTGGGTGGATTGACCCTGTAATATTATTGTTAAAGAGCATAGTGGGCTTATTGTTCACCTACCTGCTAGGTGCTGTGTTTAAAATGCATCTGAGACTATCTGTGTGGAGTTTGTATATTCTCCCTGTGTCTTCTCCTATAATTCAAAGCATATTGGTTGGGCAGTTGGCGACTTTTAAACTGCTTCTATGGCAGGAGGGACATTAGAATTTATGTATTTGTTGTGGTAGCGATATTAGACCATGAACACCTTGAGACTGGTGACTAAATCCCTGTATACTGTAAATTTCTGTATGATATGCTAATGCTATAATTAATAATCACAATTTATGTGAAAGAAAAAAAAAGATATTCAACACATATCTGTAGAATATGCACATTTCCCTGTGTTTTATCCCTTTAAAAATATATCAAGTACAAAATACTTATTGATCTGCCAGAAATTCAGTGTGCTCTTATTTGGGCTGAAAACCCAACCAGCATTGTCAGCCATGCCTACTGAACTACAAAATTCTACCAGTACCTAACCCTTTATGTTCCATTCCACATGCATGCATTGATTTCCTTCCCAGAAAAAAATGCTGTTGTCTTCGCTCACAAAGAGCTTGCCCATACACTCTATGTAGGGAAAGGGCTCACAGGAAATGTAGTTCTGGGGTGTGTACCTAGAAAGTGAACTCTGAGCAGGCTTCTTTGCAAGAATTTTACAAACCCAATGATGATGTCTCAAGGAGTAATGAGAACAGGTAATGCCTGATCATATCCTCAAAGCTAAGAAGGATATTACAGGTAAAATTGAAGAACAGATGCAAAGGTACCCCTGAAAAAAAAAATCTACGAAAAGTTCCTCTAAATGAAATATAAGCTACTTTTTTGACTCCCATAAGTAGGTTCCTTGTGAAGATCATGGAGAATTGTGTGTGCTTTCTAAATGTCATAATACTGATTATTCTCCTTGTACAGTTCTCCGCTGCAGTGTCCATGCCACTTTGCCAAGACAATGTTTTGAAACAGGCAGCAGTAGAACACGCCTGCAGCATCCTCATGGGTGACATCTTTCAAGCATGTGAGAAACTGGTAAGTATATACACGCACACAAATGAATCAGCTTTGGAGTAATAATCAGTCCAGAAATAACACAATATTTTACATTGGTACTTCGTTCTGCAGGTAGATCCAACACCATATTACGAGATTTGCACGTATGACACTTGCACTTGTGAATCAATTGGGGATTGTGCATGCTTCTGCGATTCCATAGCAGCTTATGCACATGCATGTGCACAGAAAGGAGTGATTGTACAGTGGAGAGCATCACAACTGTGTCGTAAGTACAAAAAAAATTCTTTTTTCTATCCTACTGAATGTACTGTTTCCAACTTCATGACCACAATGTACCGGCACAAAATGTGACAAGTAACCACAACTAACAAGTAACAGCTGGTACCAGCAGGCTTGATTGATAAAAATTTAAAGGGACATTCCAAATAAGACTGATATTTCTTTGATGGAATGAACATCATGAACTAAAACAGTCAATGTGACAGGAGCTCCAGAAGTAAAACCTCTTTAGCTGAGTTGAACCAAATCTGAACTTATCCTATGCAGCGGAAAGTAGCTTGTCTGTTTTAGGCCCCTTTCACACAATCCGTCCGAACAGGTCCACCTGTCTGTTCTTCAGGCAGACCTGATTGGACCCTCCATTCATCTCTATGGAGTGGTGGATGTAAACGGAAGGGGATGTACTCCCCTCTGTCTAAACCAGTGTTTCTCAACTCCAGTCCTCATGGACCCCCAACAGGTCATGTTTTCAGGATTTCCATTATTTTGCACAGGTGATTTGATCAGTTTCACTGCCTTAGTAATTACCACAGCTGTTTCATCTGAGGGAAATCCTGAAAACATGACTTGTTGGGGGTCCATGAGGACTGGAGTTGAGAAACACTGGTCTAAATGGATCAGATCAGAGGGCTGTCTTTCTCTTCTATCCCACCTGTCATTTCTTGTCCTAGTGTCACCAGGATAGGAAATGAGGGGAGATCTCCCCAATGTCTATATGTGTTGCATTGTGTTCACAGGAAGGGTCTAGCAAAAATTCTGGCACTATATAATGAAAAATTATCACAAATTTGGAATTTTCCTAAGTTAAATGCATGATCCCAAAGATAGATGTTTTATCTGCACAACACACAAGGATGGTTTACCAGGCTCGTAAGTGTTTTCTTTCCTCCCATGTGCAGCTCAGAGTTGTGAAGAGAAGAATGAAAAAGAACTGGAGTATGTATGTGAATGGAGATACAACAGTTGTGCACCAGCTTGCCCAGCAACCTGTCAACATCCTGAGCCCTCAAACTGCCCTCTGAAGTGTGTTGAAGGGTGCCAAGCACACTGTCCACCCGGTAAGTTTTTCATTTTTGCACTGTGCATTATTGTGTTGCATAGTGTAGGGAGATTTGCTTATGTATTCCAAATCTAAAATTATTTTTTTTATTATAAAAATGTATCTTTTATGTATTTTTTTCATTACTGTTGTAAAATCTTTATTACTAAATTAATATTTACTGATTGATTCCATGACAATTTGTAGAACACGAGGGCTTTCTAATAAAACATGACAACAGCTTCTCACTAAAAAATACATTTAGGTATGTTTCAGCTGGGAGACTTTTTCTAAGGCAATCATTATTTTCAGCTTTATAAACTGGAGAGATAGGATTGAGTCCCTCCTCAGCTTCACTAGGCTGTGCATGTGTTCTGAATAGCAAATCAAATTGTAACCTATTCACAGCATAATGTGAACAAAACCGAAAAGCTGATGGAAAATCACTAAAAGCAATGTGAAACAAGCCTTCATTTACGTATCTATAGGTATTGTGGAGAAAGGCATCTTCAAAATTCACAACAGAGACACTAAAATCACACATTGATATCACAACATCTTTGCCAGTCTTTTGATGTAAACAAACAGCAGATATTTCCTAGCTGTTAGAAACCATCTCTAGAGTCTCTGCTGTGATCTTTGAGAATTAATTACTTTGCAGTGCAAGCAGCTAGATAGGTCATGGAGGGTGTGTTTTAAAACTCTTTTACTGCTTGTTAAAAATATATTAAAACGTTAATATCCGTGTCATCCACTTTAAAGGACATTTACATCTCTGTCTGTCGTAGAGTTCTCCTTTTAGTCCAGTACTAGAAAAGCTTGATCGCAAGGCTCAACACAACGCAATGCACTTTTTCTCTCCTCTCTCTTTTTTTCTTTCTCTCTCCCTCTCTATTCTTTTCTATCTTCTCAACCCACTCTTTTTTTCTACCATCTATCTTCTTCATTCCTCTCTTTTCCTCTTCTTTTTCCTTTGCATTCTCACTGTCTGCTCCTTCTCCTTTCTCTATTCTACCCTGTCTATCACATTTCTATTTTCTCTTCTTCTCTCCTCTCCAAATCTATTTTGTCTCTCTCTCCCCTCTTCTGTTTTTTTTTTTCCTATCTCTTCTCCCCACTCTGTCCTCCACTTTCTGCTCTCCCTGTCTCTCTACTTCTCCCACCCCTTGTCAAGGAGGTAGAGGACACCAGGTAAATGTAGACACTAAGGGGGCTGAGGTGTAGAATCTAAGGGCACCCTACAGGAGTGATGGGCTTTGCTGTGGACGGCTCCCAGGTTGCAGCCCTCATTTATTCAAAGTTTACAAAAAGAACATTGGAGAACTGGAGAAAGTACAGAGAAGGGCAGCCACACTGATAAGAGGCATGGAGGAGCTCAGCTATGAGGAAGGATTGAGGAACTGAATTTATTCTCTCTTGAGAAGAGGAGATTAAGGGGCGATATGATCGACATGTATAAATACATCAGTGCTTCATATAGGGAACTCGGTGTAAAGTTATTCACCCTGAGATCATCACAGAGGACAAGGGGGCACTCTTTACATCTGGAGGAAAAGAAATTTAATCTTCAAACACGAAAAGGTTTCTTCACAGTGAGAGCTGTGAAAATGTGGAATAGACTCCTTCAAGAGTTGGTTCTGGCCAGCTCAGTGGATTGCTTCAAAAAAGGCCTGGATTCTTTCTTGGATACACAGAATATAACTGGTTACTGACATTTATAGGGAAAATTGATCCACAGCATATCTGATTGCCTCTCGGGAGATCAGGAAGGAATTTTTTACCCTGCAGGAGCAAATTGAATCATGCTTTGTTAGGTTTTTTTTTACCTTCCTATGGATCAACTGTGGGTTTAGGATTATAACTTTTTTTTTTTTGTAATGGTTGAATTGGATAGACTTTTGTCTTTTTTCAGCCAGACTAACTATGTAACTATGGAAACAACTGACAACAGGCAGAGACAGAGTGTAGTACAAAATTGGAAGACAAGTTTGTGGTCAAACAGGCAAAAGGTCAGGGCGGGTGGATAACAAGGCTAGTCAAGAAACAGGCAAAAGTTCAGGGCAGGCAGATAACAAGGATATTTGATTAATAGGCAGAAGATCTAAACCTCAGTATTGACACTTGAACAGAAATCATGAGTATTGGAGCCTGGGAACAGATACTCAGAGAGGTCTATGCTTGGGCAACTTTTAAGTGCACTGGGCAAGTCTGGCTTTCTGGGACATGACCACAGAAGAAGTGCCCAGCAGCATTTCTTAATAAGAACATCCAGGGGAAGTGTAAGAGACTGGAAAAGACCTATTGCAGTTTCCAGGGATTTCAAAAGTTGTTTGCACAGATCAACATGAATTAAGTTTAGGTGCAAAAGAGCAGACTGATCCTGCAGAGACAAATCTGGAACGTGAACAGCCACAAACAGTGACACAGGTTGGTTCTTGAAGCGGTAGTAAAGACTGTAAATTGAAAAAAAAATCTGCATACTAGCACAATATAGTATCTAGGGGTGCACTGCCACCACTGACAGGGCTTACAACTTCACCTGGTCTTTCATCCGGGTTTGCATGCGCATGGGAGCCATGTTCGTGGCACAGCACTCGGAAAGGACAGCATACTCAGCATGCCATCCATGCATATTTGAGCCAAAGACGTCACTGGCTGAAGAAATAGTGAATATCTTCTTAACGGTGCACATTTAGGAGATATTCCTTTTACCAACAGGTAAGCTTTATTATAAGCTTTCCTGTAGGTACAGCTAACCAAGCGGTGTCTACTGCTACAATGACTGGGATGTCTCTCCTCTCTTTTCTCTCCTCTATTTCTCTTTTCTGTCTTCTCTCTCTTTCTATCTTCTCCCCCCCTCTAATAACATCCCAGTACTTGTCTCACAATACATAACTGCCTTTTAATTCTTCAGCTTTAAAATGTACATATAAATGCAGAAAGCTGGCTATCTTTGAATGAAACTGTCCACCCAAAAAGATGATTTTTAAGCTTTGGTAGCTGCAGGTTCATTATACCACACCTACACGCGCAAGAACAAAATAAAAAGTTTGGTCAAGAAACCTTGCCAACAGTCTCCAAGAGATATTACAAGCAGGAGGGGCAGCCCTCTAAAATCCACCTTGTTATAAAAAATCACTTTTTGGTGGACTGTCCCTTTAACACCATGATGAATAGCCCCCACCCCCCCTGTTGCTAGAATAAAGGTTGAATCCTAAATGACATGCTGGCTACTTCACTGCTTGTTCTCATATGGTTGAACATCTAAGATACGGATCTTGAACAGTGGAAACACTATGCAAATGTTCTGCTTGCAAGCAGCCCCATTATCAGCAACAGTTGAAGGAAACCGTATGAAATAATTTGTAACAGCCGAACAGATGGCTGTTTAAGAGAATGGATAAATATTGCTGGCTGCGACTTCTGAAAACACATTCCAACATCCATAAGTATTTGCGAATAACTTTTTATAGGGTGGGGAAGGAATGCTTTTACTGGTTATCTAACTCTTTTATTTCCCCCTTTTTAATATCATTTTTAAAAAATAAATAATAACTTGCATATTTCTCCAATTTTTACATTTTGCACAAGCATATTTAGAGCAGCTACATGTCAGTAGACTTTAGAAAATAATTACAAGCATGTACGAAAGCATTGGAAAGCATTGCAAGTGCTTATAGAGGCTCCCCAGCATACTGGAAGAATAGATTTTTCCTCCTCCTGTATAGTGTCATATGTTCCACATAACACTGGAACAGGTTGATCTGTTGACATACAGCAGGCATATTCATAAAAGCTGAAGGAATTTATTGATTCAGGAAGGCAGCTAAAGTTAGTTATCCATTATATTTTTACTATGACAGTGTCTCTTCAAAGCAAACCTGTGCTTTGCTCATGCATTTTAATCAGTAGGTGTACTTTAATCTGCCCCTCCCTATGTATGTAGCACTACCCCCTTAGGAGCTGCAGAAGTTTGGGTCCCCCTATAGCCCTACACAGCCAGGCAACACGCATTTCAACACCGACTTGCATCCAGAAGTCAGTAACCAGTCCTTGAGCTTGTTTTCTTTTGGATTTTATTAGGGGTATTTCAACTTGGATGGGGTAAATGGTGTATGAGATGCCCAATGGAACCGAGAAACTGAGGACAACTTCCTGGAACTATTTGCAAGTCTATACAGCAAAACAGTTTATTTTGGAGAGCTAGCCAGCATCTTTTGTAGTACCACCCAGACCCCAGATAAATCCTCTTCTTTACCCAGCTGTCTGGAGAATCCCGGATCAGGGAATCCTGTGTCTGCCACAAATTTAGTGAAACAGTCCTGGGTAATGGACTAATCCAGCTTTGCACTAGAGTGCCTCCTTCCCCTTTCTGGCCCAGGAGGTGCAAGTTTACTCACTCAGTCTTCCTGTGCTTCTGGTGTTTTGGTGGCTGCTACCAGGTCTTTTACCTGGGCAGCTCCTTCCCTGCTACACAGGTGGTCCTCATTTTGGGGGCCCGCAAAGGTCTGAGCTTTCCTCTTTTCAAGCTCCACTTCCTGTAGATGAGCCCCTTTTCATCTGGGCCCCTCACAGGCTCCTGCCTACAGCCTCACATCCTCTCTATCTTCCACCTGAACTCTCCCACAGCTGAGCAGTCTCAGTTACTCTTAAAGGCTGTCCTGGTCCCTTGCTATGCCTTCTGTTGGGGATTGGCCAGAATCCTCCAAGAGTACAAACTAGCCACTCTTCTGATCCACTCACTGCTTCTAGACCTTTCTCCAAAGTTCTAGTGCGGGGGAAATTCCAGAGGGCTGGTCTGCAGAGCCTCTCAGCTCTGACCACAATTTTACCCCTGCTAGCTATCAAACCCAGGCTGCTACTCAGCCCTCCTTGCTAACAATTGGAGTATAGCCCCTCCTAGCTGACTAGGAGGGCACCACACATATACATTGGGGTTGATTTACTAAAACTGGAGAGTGCAATATCTGGTGCAGATGTGCATAGTAGCCAATCAGCTTCTAACTTCAGCTTGTTCAATTAGGCTTTGACCAAAAAAACTTGTAAGCTGATACTTTTCAGAGCACCAGATTTTGCACTCTCCAGTTTTACTAAATAAACTCTATTATTCTTTACCCACCTCATTTATTAAGTGAACGTGTTGCTTTACCCTGATGCGTTGAGTTACAGTTTAGGTTAGGGTTTGGGGGTTACTTGTTTGACTAAAATCAGCCATAGATGGATTGAAATTTGGCTGGTCAAGCAGGGACCAGCCGAATATCAATCTAACTATGGCTGTTCCCTCTCAACAGATTCAACTTTTTCCAAAAGGGAATGTTCGAAATGTTTTATTTGATCAGCAGCTATAGCACTGATCAGTGTATTCGGACGCTGTCAGAAAACAATAGAATTTTGTCTGAAATTTTTTGTTTAACCACTGCCCACTGGAGGTACATATATATGTGGCCTCTTGGTGGGTGGGCTTTAATGCCATGAGGCCTCATATATGCTGTTCTATGTAATCAGTTTTCAGTGCTGAGAGAGCATGCCCTGCGCACTCCCAGCACAGTTACCAGCGGGAACCGGAACGCCACTGATGCATACTTGTGATCAGGAGCTTTCTGATCATGTGACTGCCAATCATAGCAGTCACATGGTCTAAATGTCCACCTCCGCCTCCTGACATTTAGAACCTCTTAATGGGCCAGGAGGGGGTGAAGAAATTTAATTTTCTCCAATTTTCTAATAATTTGTGGGGTCAAATCAGTGTTTGTTTTTGACCACTGTGATGAAAACAACAAATTTTGAATATGATTTTTGTTTGGGTAAGTCCATTCTCTCTAAAACCAAATGTTAAAAGCAAACACAATTTTGAAGTACTTTTGAATGCCATTTTTCAAGTCATCAAATGTACTTAAAATTTTTGTATGAATGTTTGTTCAAATTTTCACTCGAAAATCTACTAGTGTATGTCCAACTTAGGTTTAAGTCTTAAGGAAAGGTCAAAGGGCATATTTATAGAGCAGTGAATCTGACATTCAGTAAACATTCTCTGGGGGCAGATTTTTCTGGTTCATGTGTTTTAAATGACAGTTATTGATTCACCATCAGAGAATTCTGGGTGACAGTCACATTCACTGTTTTATAAATAGACTAGTAAGTGTTTGAGGTTAATTTTAGGGGTTAGTTTAAGATTTAGCATTTTGGTGAGGGTAGGGTTACGTGATAGGATCAGCCTAAAGCTGGCTATGCACTGATTTTTTTTTTTTTTTTTTCACTTGGCCTGCTGGCTCACCAAACAATGGCTAATAGATTCCTCCATCTATGTTATACAGATTAGATGGCCTAATCTCCCACCTCAGCTAGTATATGCTGACTACATCTGATTGAATGCAGCTGCTGTTCGGTTGACAATTTTTCATCCAGCTTCTTTGATTTTCCTATCGATAATGTCAGGCGGGAGGATGGCAACCCATGTAACAAATTTTATCCAGTTCATCAGAAACCAGCTTTATGATTAGGTTAAAGTTAAAGGCAAAGGCCATGTGAAGAAATAATTAATTAGTAAAGAAACAATTCAAAGTAGCTTAGTGTTAATTTCATGGAAGAAGTTACATTCATTTTCCATCATATTTATTCTTTAAGAATTTTTCCACCAAGGTGATACTTTACTTTGTTCCATATTGGTTATGTCTAAAAGAAGCATAAGCAAGTTGTCTTTTGACCACCCCTCCCGTGGTACCACGGACATTGAGGAGAACAAAGCTGAATTGCTCTGTAGTAACAGTTATCATTGTAAGATTGTTAACTGGTTGCAGAGATAACATAACTTAGCTACTGTGTATTTCCAGAATGGACATTTATTCAGTGTTATTAATATTTTGTTCCCCTCAGGTAAAATTCTAAATGAAGTATCAGAGTCATGTATTGAACCCAAAGACTGTCCAGTGTGTGTGGTTGGCGGTCGCCACATCCCACATGGAAAGATCATTTTCCTGAACCAAGATGACCCCAAAAGCTGTCAGCAATGGTAATGTTTGGGACTTCTGTATGGGGCCCAGCCTTTATTTCTAATAGAATGATGGAGCAAATATGTCTGCTACTTCTCCTTATTTGCCCATGTTTTCAAAAGGCAAATTGAAATTCAATTATTGGAATGTTGCAGTTTTTGTCCACTTTGGGGAAATGTCCTCTCACTTTCCCTTGAACCAACTGTTTATCAACTGTCACCAACTGGTGAGAAAGTTAACCAAGGGAACAAAGCCACCAATAAAAGCTTGTATATTTTTAATAGAGTTTGAATGGAGTAACATCCTAACAGATTTAATTTCTATCCTTGATACTACTTGGGAATTTGTTTCTCAGATGCAGATGGCAACCCCCCCCCTGCCAAAAAAAAAAAAAAATGAGCAGAAATTATATGAAATGTGTTTGAAAAAACAAACACTACTATGCATAGTGTTATTCGTATTTTGTTTTCCTTTACTTTGGTTTATTTGATCAATATTTGTGTACAGCCACTTTTATTTTTTTATCTAATTTTTTTTTCTGTTGTATTTTTTCTATGAAAAAAAGTAAAATATTGATTTCATGAGGGTCCATTTTAGGCTCAAGAATAGATTCACTATAGTTGAAAAGAGCAGCCATTTAAAGCCCTCAAAGACTTCAAAGTATTTAATCAAAATAGCACAATTTTCACTGAAATTGCTGGGAAATGAGAACTCTATTTCCACCATCCCTATTACTCATCCTTAATAATGATGTAAAACCAGAACAAGATGGATTATAATTGGTTATCACAATTATTATTCTTTGCATGTTGCACTGTTTTGATGAATAAGAGCATGTATGATTACAACCTGTATGAATATTGTATTTTATATGTCTCCAGCCATTGTCAAGATCAGACTCTTCAGTGTATTCCTTGTGTGATAAACCATATACCAACGACACCCAGTCCTGCCTCGACTGAGGAGCCTACTACTCCTGAGGAAGAGGAGGAGGAGGAAGCTACAGTGCCACCAGGAACGTATACCTGTGAGAAAGCTATGGACTTGGTTTTCCTGGTAGATGGCTCATCAAAACTATCTGAAGCTGAATTTGAAATTGTGAAGGACTTCATTATCAGTATCCTGGAGAAAATCAGGATCTCTCAAAAACGTATCCGTGTGTCTGTAGTCCAGTATTATTCACTGTACACACCAAAATTATTTCATCTTAAAGATAAATTAAAACTTACTGACATGGTTGCCAAAGTCAAAAACATGAAGTACTATGGAAGTTCCACGGCATCAACTTTTGAGGCTCTTAAGTATGCCTCGCACTACGTGTTTCCTGAAGCTCCAAGGGACAACGCTCCAAAAATGATTATGCTACTGACAGCCAGCAAAAACCAAAAGAGCATAGGCAGCTTAATGAAGGCCGTACTAAAGCGTAAAATCACTGTAATTCCAGTTGCCATAGGCCCTGATGCCAACATAGAAGACGTCAAATTGATTCAAAGTAAATCAATTCACAACAAACCATTTATAGTTCCAAATGTCAAAGACTTGCCTAGCTACAAAGATGAGATAATTGATTATTTGTGTGGTTTAGTACCAGAACCAACAAAGAAAGCTCCAACACCCTCTACTCCCACCAAACAGACGAATATACCTTTGACTCCTGCACCGTTACCTCCTGGTAAAGAATTTTTCTTTCTAATTGAAACTTCTAACAACATCACAAAAGAAAACTTTACTCAGACAATAACGTTCCTTGAGAAGCTGATTTGGGAAATGGATATGAGTAAAGAAGTTATATATATTTACTATTATACAGTATTCATACACAGTAACATTGGAATACAGGTTCACAGGAAGAGAAACAAAACAGGATATGATTGAGAAGATCAAACAGATTAGATACAGAGGTGGAAATGCTACCAACACAGGACATGCCTTGCAATATATAAGCCATGAGAGGTTCAGGAAAGGCTATGAAAGCTCCAGCCAAGTTCCTCGTCTTGTCTACATGATACAATCCAACCCTCCTACTGATACGATAACAAAACCTGAGAACATGACTGTTACTCCTATCGTGATTGGTCAGCCTATACCAGAACTAAACATCTTTGAACACTCCGTATACCTGGAAAGATATGACCAGCTTCGTAACATAACCAATCAGGTGGTTGACTCTGTTGCTGAACCTGTTCCACCAACACTACCCCCCAAACCCACTATAACGCCAGGTATAGTCCTTCATGTCATTTTCTAGTATTTTATTTGTAACACCTTGGTTAACATATGTGGAATTAAATGAAATGTACTTTTAAGTGTATATCAGTCCAAGAGCAAAATGTACACAGGTAAACCAACACATGTAGTAGGTAGTAGTAGATAGTCACATTCAAATTGACTTGTTTTGTAATGTTGAAGAGGTTTTTTTGTTCATCCAAGTAGCTTCCTTAGTTCTGAGTATCAGGAATATAGCCAATCATTTATAGCCACCCAATTAAGTCACTTTAATCCAACCACCATAGAATGTGTCAAGTTAGATCTTGATCATCCGAGAAGAGGATGGGCGGTAGGACAATTGTGAAATCACTCTGTTATGATGACATAACCCAAATCCATGGTATAATGAAGTCTGGGAGCTGGAGAAAGGTGCTCCTTATGAAACCAGCCATTTCCTTGCTAGCTGTGGTGTCAGGTGGCTGTGCACCAAGGGAAGGAGTCCTGTCTGACATCACAGTGTTACTGGGCCACCTAGGAACATGGGAAAACTACTACATGTACATTGACCCATCTGGAATTGCATTCTTTATTACACTGCACTGCTTATATCAAGTTGCTTCATGTGATTGATATGTGTTTTTATCTCAAATTAGCTGCAGATTGAAACCAGGGAATGGCTGTGGGACAACCCCATACACATTGTTGTGGAATGGCAAAAAAGATGACATTTTGCTTTTGGCAAGCAATACCACCTAGCGTTGCAGTAAAGAGGGATTTCAGTGTAAAATCCATCCTCAAACAGGCATGCAGGAGTCAGCATATCACCTCTCGATCACTTATTAACCTTGGCCCTGCTGAGAATGTCATCCACCACGGTTTGCGAGTTAGAAGCTAGGCTCGTGTAAAAGAGCTGTTCGTGCAGATGGACCTATAATAAAGTGCTACAATATATATCTTAATGGGAGGCCATAGTGCAGTCCATTATGCTCTTTGCTGTTTTTACATATGTGTTTAAATGTTTCCTTTTTTTTCTCTCTATTTTAGTGCCATGTATGAGACCCATGGATGTGATATTCTTAATGGACGGCAGTATTAACATCAAGCAATCAGAGTTTGAACTCATGAAAACTTTTGTCAAGAACTTTATTTACAAGGCACATATTGGTAAGGCTCCATGCACACTGGGCTTAAAAAAAGCCCTCCAGTTCCCTTGGCAGAAAAAATTGCTGATATAGAACGTTTTGTGCACTCTTTAGGTGAGTTTAGAAGTTTCCCATTTTTTCTGCCAGAAAGGTCTAGTCGAAAAAGGGAAACCAAAAGGGTTTTTTTTCCTGCCTCTAAATGTTGAACTTGGAATATGCCTCTAATTGTCCTGATGTGCATAGATACATAGGATAACACTGAGCTGCTACTACAGACAAAACACAAAACTCCAGTAGAAGCAACACCAGCAGGTAAAAATGGTTATCTATGCAAGTAAACAGGTGGATCCTTAAAAAAGTACCAAACTAATCAATATGTAATACAAAGAGGTTACAGCACAGTTAGCATACACTTATAGCCAGTCATAGAGCAACTTCAGGCATCCCTACCCTTTTTTAGTTGCCAACCTGGACCATGCAGTAGAAATGGGGATATAAGTGTTCAAGTCCTAAATAGCTTCATATATACAGCACAAGATACTAAGGAGGTGCTGCCACTTATTAAGTCTCAGCTATAGCTATTCTTGGTTCGCAAATATTGCAATACTATACATGTGCAAGTTGGTAACTGCATCAGAGTCATCATGCTCTGGCCAGTCTCTACTGTATCATGCAGATTTGCCTTCTCTTGCTTGCTAAAATAACTTCTCTTGAGTGTGTGGACATATCGTGCCAATATGGGGTAGATACAGGTGCAGATGAATAAAACTCTGCATTAAAAAACAAGCCATTCACATCCACAATGGGAAAATACACAACGTTTAGGAGGGTGGACCAGCAAGTAAAAGTAGTTGTCTATGCAAGTAACCAAAAGGATCCCCCCACAAAATTCCAAACTAATGCAAAGGGGTAAATTCAAATTAAAGCATATATAAACCCTACAACAAAGATGTAGTATACTGCAGCTTACCAGTCCTTAGATGAAGTGGTTACATTAGCTTTATATTTTCAGGATTTTTTCCCTTTAGTGTTTATCATTATTTAATATTATATTAATTTGGTAATGCTGCAAATAGTACACCTCCTGTCCTAGAGTAGTTATTTAGGAACCAGATTTCAGGTCATATAAATATAAAATCTCTATTGCACATGGTTTTGTTTTTTTTTGTTTTTCAGTTTTGAATTTCTTTATTATAATATTTATATTTTAATTGAAAGGACCTGAAGAAACACAGGTGGCTGTTCTTCAGTATGGATGGACACCTCAGCTGGAAATTGCATGGACAGACCCCCAGAACAAGGAAGGCTTGATAAAGCTGGTGGATGCTATGCAGCAAATGGAAAGCGGACCTAGCAAAATTGGTAAGTATTGGTAACAAGAATACCAGACATAACCCACCTGTACTGCATTTCATTTTCCAGACTGTGAGTAATCTGGACTGGGAAATTTGCTCTGTGGTACAACCATTTTCACTGAATGAGTATAGAATTGAGCTGTCCATAAAGTTAACATGAGATTTAAGGTCCTTTCACACGGTGCCAGGCCACTCAGATCTTTTCATGGATCCCCTGCTGAATTAGAGCCTTCACAGAACAGATATCAGTTTTGTGCCATTCATGCCCATTCAGTTTGTGCCTGTATTTTAACAGTGGACTGTGGCAGACCCATGATGACTCTATGGGTGACCAGATGAAAACGCATCTATCTGTTTACATCAAACTACTTCTGATATGTCACATGTAGGTTTGGAAAAAACAAAGGATGCAGTCCTTTTCCATTTTTTTTTTACCGGACCTAGATGGGCTCAGAGGTAGAGGGATGTCAACAGGCAAGTCTATTTACATTTACCTGCCAACAGACCTGCATGCAGCTTCCAGTCAAGTCCACCTGAAAAACCAATAGGAAGCCTTGACCAGAAAGCCAACGTGAAGGGGGTCTAAGGCACAATCATTGTACTGTGCTGAACCAGGAAATTAAAATTATAAGCCAAGCTATCTTAACCTGATGTACACCAGAAAGTGACAAATACACAACACCTTTTTGCCATTAGACTAAGCAAATCTATTGTTCTGTTGTGTTTGTTTTTTATAGACCCTAAATTATTTTAACCATTTCCAGTCTTGGCATCCCTTAACATGTGACCACTGTGACTGGCTGTCACAGTGGACACGTGATCAGGAGCCGGTCCCACCGACTCCCAATCATTAATAGAGACCAGGAGGAGTCTATGACAGTTCCGTCACAGTTAAGTCACTATGCTGGTAGTGTGTTCTGCGCTCTCAGCACAGAAATCTCAGACATCCATGGATGCATATGTGCAGTGGGTGTTAAATGTTAATGTGGGTGCTAAAACCCAACCTCTTTGTCACCACAAATATGTGTTATGTAGGCAAGAGGTTAACTACAATGTTTTTTTTTTAAATAAATATGAAATACTGTATTGTATATAAACAATGATACTTTCTGCTTACAACTTGGTGTCAGAGTGGACTGGGACCCAAAAAGTGAAGATTCCTGATCACAGGGAACATCTAGAAGTGTTAATTTTTTATAAGCAGTACCCTGAAAAATTTACCGTTTGCCTTGAATTCCTCCTGAAAAAAGGCAGTGCACTTCCTGTGCCCAGGCACTCCTGTTCTGCAGTGCGAAATCATCTAAGGCACTGCTGTCTTCTGGCTCCAAGTCCCACCAGATTTGGAGCGGTGTTTGGTAATGTTAGCACTGTGCTGCTCAACGTACTCCTTTCTGGAGAGAATGTTATAACTGCAGGCCTGCATTGCAAGGATCTCCATGCTTCTCCTTCATCTATTCTGTGGCTCTGTGCCTCTTCCACCTCTCCTGATGCTTTTTGAATATTTCCCTACCAGTTCAAGAGAGGTGGAGGAATCACAGATCAACAGAATAGATGAAGAAGATGCAGACGTATAGGGATCATTGCACTGCAGGTACAGCTTCCATTCCAGCAAGGAGAATATTGAGCAGCACACTACTGATATTAAAATAAACAAACCACTAGGTGCTAAATCCCACAACCAAGATTTGGTAAATCAAGGCAAAAAGGAAGAGGGGGGGGGGGCTGGTCCCACAGCTTATCTGATGACCATTAGGAGCTCACTTCTGGTGCGCGATCTTCAGTGACACCGAGGAGGTCTTCCTGGTCTCTCAAATGATACCACATTGGGTTATTGATTTGTGGATACATTCCTTACCATCCACTGCCCTTCTACCATTCTTGAGTTCATCTGTTAAGTTCCCCATCCAGACTCCCCACAGCCATGTCATCATCTCAGTAAGCCGCTCCCATTATTCCTTTTCAGCGTGTGACTTGTGCCAGTCTTTCATATTGTGCCATATTACTACATGGGATTCCTAGAATATGGTTATTATTGTTTTATCGATCTATTAAAGCATTGGAATCGGACATATTTACTGTTGGTTGTGTATGTCATTGTATAATCACTCTGGCTTTCACCACGAGTGCTTTGTTTTTCTTGGTTTTAACACTACTGACATTACCAAATCTCACTCTAAATCCGGTTACTCTTGGAGTCAGCAGTGCCTTAGATTTCACACTGTAGAACAGGAGTGCCTAGGCACTGCCTCTACCAAGATGGCTACCTCCAAACAAAGATATGTCTCCTAGTCTTTTTCCTTTCCTTGTCTTTTTTGGACACAGCTGCCATAGTACAAGAGCACTTTAATCACATGTTCTATGCTCTTTGAAGGCTTTTCCTTATAGCTGTTGTGCTACAAAAAGATCTAATTGATTTAAAGAAAGGCCACTGTACCCCTGGAAGAAAGAACATAATCTAAAAATTTAAATGAACATAGTCTGCCAAAAGCCTTGCAAGGGGTGTTGTGCTTTTTAGTAATAAAGTGCCATATATCCATCTCTGCAATAAATGTTTACATTGTAAAATAGAGATTTTTATACAAATAACTAAAAAAAAAGGTTATAAACACATCAGTTTATAAACTTTCAAAATTAAGCCCATTATAGTTTCCCTTTAACAGCCGTATAACTTGTTATTACAAAGTAATCTGTAGATCATAGTATCTATATAATGTTGGCAATTAGAAGCAAAGGACATACTTTAGCAACAAACGGAAATCAGCATTCCATTATCTATTGGCAAGTTTACTAACAGCAGCAGCAATACTCTTCTGAGATATTGGAAATATGTAGTGCTTAAAAAGTGCATTTTTTATGTATTAAGCTGGTTTCCCAAAGCCAAAGTAATATATATCCATTTAAAACATGTCATTAAAGACTCTCATTTAGTTTTATGGAGCACAAAGAGGACGCCAAGTGTAAAACATCTGTAAGCAAGATATAACGGGTTGCCAAATGACTGAAATGCAAGATAAAAGTGATTTACATGTTTTGTGCAGCATGTTTTTTCAGTGCAGATAAATATGCTACGTAAACTGGATGTTGAATGGGAATTTTTCATGACACCTTTTTGTAGAAAATAAAATAATTTAGAGTGGTAAAAAATTTGAGCTAAATTACAGGCAAACAGCAAAACATACAGATGATTGAGATAAGATGGTCTACTTTCAGTGATTATTACCTGCACCAGGTGCATTCTTTATCATGAATGTTCACACTACAGACCTTCGGCTGACAGGTTTCAGGCTTATGGCTTCCAGTTCTGCAAAATTAAATAAATCAATTAGCACTTTGAAGCTGGTAATGTGAAGCACAGGCTACCTGCATACAGAACCCCTCACCTGTCTATTATCCAGGAGAGCTACTGTACTTCCAAACACCCTCACTCTTGGCTTTTTGCTAATGTAACAAAATCTAAGGGCCCATTTACACTGTTGCATTTTAACGCATCCGTTCCAATACATGTAGCATGGATCTGCATAATAAACATAATGGTCTATTTATAAACCATCCATTTTAACGATTGTTACACACATTTGTTCAGGCTTTCAGGCTGCTTGAATTTGGCTGTCATTTTTGTATTAAATTAATTCCTACTAGCAGAAAAAGGGTGGTAAAGTTTAATGACATATGTCAATGAGAAAATATACTGCATTTTGGAAGAAAGGTGGTATGCAGGCATGGTGATTAGAGTGGTAGGGGAAAACAGTGGTAATTCCTCAGGGAGTGTGTGTGGGGGGGGGGGGGGACATGCATGGTGAGAAAGGGACTGGTGGCCTGCAAGTCCAGTAGAAAGAATGCAGAGATGGACATGCAGATGCAATGGTAAATACTGGGGAGTTTTGAACTGGCCCAGTGATAAGTGTGGGATGCATGTCCTGCAGAGGCAATGGTGAGAGAAGGAAGATTAGGAGTCAGGCACAGTGGTAAGAGTGGCAGAAAGGGGCTGCACTGGCACAGTGGTTAGGGAGGGTTGTGCAGATGTGGTGATTAGATCAAGGGGAATGGACATGAAGGTGATGGGCACTGCTGTTGTTGGAAAAGTGATGAGAGTAGATGTGAGGTCATGAGAACATCATGTAGGCAGAGAGTGCTTATGTGGCACATGCAGTTGGCTTCAGAACCATTTTGGGCCCACCATCATCACAACCCTAGTGCCATCTTCCTGTTGTACAACTTTAGCATTTTATTTTTTTTTACATTACAAGTAAATATCTTAATTAAAATACCTTGCCACTCTTTATCTCTATCCACCTAACCTATTCAACTTACTTTTTTTTTTTAACATACAATCCATAACAAGCTGAAACTAAGGGGGAAACTATAGTAAAACTGCATTTTATTCTCTGTATTTTTCTTTTAGATAATTATAGGGTATAAGACATAGTGAATGATCACAGTTATCAATACAGTAGATGTCACTGATATTTAAAAACATGTTTATCAAATCATTTTCTTTCTTTCTTTGTATATTCTATAGGAGATGCATTGCAATATGCTGTCCACAGTGTCATTTCAGAAGTGCATGGAGCAAGACCTCTTTCATCTAAGATCGCAATTATCCTTGTTGCAGACAAATCAGATGATCAAGTTAATGATGCAGCCAACTCGGCAACAACAAACAGTAATATTCTGACTTCTTTCTATTGCTCCTTAACTTTCCAATATTTGCATAAATAAAATGTTTGATCTAGCTGGTGTTAAATGCTTAATATACAGTATTAGCTTGCTGTTGCCAAATTGCAGTTATTCAAAACAACAATGATAAAATTGATCAAAATCATAAAGGTATTGTTTAGGGCTTGTTATGTAAAACCACAGGTCGGAAGTTATCTCTGACTTCTCTTTTTTTTTATCAAGGAATATCTGTTTTCCCAATTGGAGTTGGATCCCGCTATGACGAGGATGAATTATCCATCCTAGCTGGGCCGTCTGCTATCCACAAGATCACAAAAGCTACAACTTTTTGAAGACCTGCCAACTATTCTCCTGCTGGGAAATGACTTTATAAACAAGCTGTGCTTTGGTAAGTCTGGTGATGTGTGTACAATGCCCAATAAAGGCTTGGTTTTGGACATTAAAGGTCATATTAGGCCTATTCTGCAGGTAACTGGTCTCTGTATAGTTCTACCTCGGTCTTCAATTCAAAGCCAAAATATGTCTGAATAACAGAGATGGAGTATTCAATGTTATAGTTCCTCCTTCTCAACTGCAGCAAACTTGCAGTTTTTAAATTGGCTAAATCTGTCTCTTTTATGTGCCCGCTCTACTGTCAAATTGGGACCAGCGGCCATGTCCATGCAACTGCTGTGTTCCACTGGGACTGCCTGGAAACAGATGCGCAGAACACCTTACCATCTTGTATGGACATGCACGGGTATACGGATCGGTACACCCATGTGAAGTTCTGGGTCTTGTTTTTTGCTAGCATCTTCTTGACCTTCATCTGTGCTGCAGAAAAGCTATGCAGCATTTGCTCACAGCTGACCTCCTTATTCACCTAGAAAGTGCTATCAGAAGTCCAAGCCTGTGTCTGATAAACAGATTCTCTTTTTTACCCTGATATGTTTAAACCAGCGTTTCTTCTAAATTTGTGTGTTTGTACACTATAACCTGCTTTTGATCTGGTTGTCTGCCTGTTGCCTGTGACACTTGTCTAGCACATGAGCACTTCCAACATCTTCCTGCCCACAGAATATTAAAACATAACCAAATGAGAGGCCAATATGCAGCAATAAGTGTAAAATATATGAATAGATGAACTGTTAAAAGTGAATTTCCCATCACAACAATGGTGAATATGGTGTTAGATTCAAATTATTCTCTTTACTCTTGTTACCTTCAGGTCTAATTATTATTCTTTTAATTACAGACTTCATCAAAGTGTGCATTGATGAGGATGGAAATCAGAGAAAGGTAATTTCAGATCATTATGTGGCTTTATTTGAAAACCTGTGCTGTTAGAAACGTGTGAGCTGCCACTACTTAAAGTATAATTACAGGCAAAACTTTTTTTATTCGTTTTGGAGAGGGATTAGAACGCTTATTCGTTTTTATTGCTGTCTGTGCCCCTGTTAAGGAGACGCACTCTCTCTATTTGTCCTTTTTACTATTATTGTTGAAATTGAAAGTAAAAGAACTCCAAGTTCTGGGTTGTCCACAGAAAAGTAATAGTGGGGAAATCTTCAAATGGGGACACTGGGGGTCCCAAGGAATTCCCTTAATTTGCAAGGATTTCTTCTTACTTCCTGTTTGGCTATGGGACAGGAAGTGAAGGGAGATTTCTGCAAACTGATGGTTTATAACACTCCCTTGCTCTACTCAAAATGAAAAAAAAAAAAGGTTTGCCTATAGTTCTTCTTTAAATCCTTCTGAAAATGCTTCTTTCTTGACTATCTCTAGCTTCAATACTGTCTGAGTGACTGACAGGGTATGAGTATATAATAAATAAGGTCAGAGTGTAGTCACATGTATGATTTGTATACTTGATTCTGGTCAACATGGAGGTCTTTTTTATCAGAATGACAGCCAGGCAGCTAGCATTTTTAGCAATATTCTAGCAAATATTTTTTCAGTAGCACAAAATATTGTTATTATATTGCGAAAATCTGCTAAAGACTTTATCTGAGTACTAGCAGTGTCATCTTGAATAATGTTTAGGAGCTTGGATATTATTTACCAGTCTGACAATGTTGATAGGTATAAAGATGTAACATTTTGTCATAGGGCCACCCAAAACTATTTCGGTGCCCTGCCTCTTTACCCTCTATTTCAGTGGTGTTCTGTTTTAGTGACAGAGAATCATATTTGCATACATAGAATTTTTTTTAGAGGTTCCCAAACTATTTTTACAATTATTTTCCAGAAGCATTTCCTGGGTGCTGTTTCTACCTTCATGTATAGTCGGGAAAAATGTAGTTGGGTGCCATAACATTTTACTATGGCTAGGGATATGTCCATAGATAGATAGATAGATAGATGATGGATATCAATATAGATATCTAAAGCCCAACTCCGGGGTGGCCACAAAAATTAAAACTGCTCTCCCAGCATACAGGCGAAACTCTAAAAATTAGAATATCGTGCAAAAGTTCATTTATTTCAGTAATGCAACTTAAAAGGTGAAACTAATTTATGTGATAGACTCATTACATGCAAAGCAAGATAGTTCAAGCTGTGATTTCTCATAATTGTGATGATTATGGCTTACAGCTCATGAAAACCCCAAATCCACAATCTCAGAAAATTAGAATATTGTGAAAAGGTGCAATATTCTAGGCTCAAAGTGTCCCACTCTAATCAGCTAATTAGCCATAACACCTGCAAAGGGTTCCTGAGCCTTTAAATGGTCTCTCAGTCTGGTTCAGTAGGAATCACAATCATGGGAAAGACTGCTGACCTGACAGTTGTGCAGAAAACCATCATTGACACCCTCCATAAGGAGGGAAAGCCCCAAAAGGTAAGTGCAAAAGAAGTTGGATGTACCCAAAGTGCTGTATCAAAGCACATTAATAGAAAGTTATGTGGAAGGGAAAAGTGTGGAAGAAAAAGGTGCACAAGCAGCAGGGATGACCGCAGCCTGGAGAGGATTGTCAGGAAAAGGCCATTCAAAAGTGTTGGGGACTTTCACAAGGAGTGGACTGAGGCTGGAGTCAGTGTATCAAGAGCCACCACATACAGACGGATCCTGGACATGGGCTTCAAATGTCGTATTCCTCTTGTCAAGCCACTCCTGAAAAACAAACAACATCAGAAGCATCTCACCGGGGCTAAAGAAAAACAGACCTGGTCTGTTGCTCAGTGGTCCAAAGTCCTCTTTTCTGATGAGAGCAACTTTTGCATCTCATTTGGAAACCAAGGACCCAGAGTATGGAGGAAGAATGGAGAGGCACACACTGCAAGATGCTTGAAGTTTCCACAGTCTGTGTTAATTTGGGGAGCCATGTTATCTGCTGGTGTTGGTCCACTGTGCTTTATTAAGTCCAGGGTCAACGCAGCTGTCTACCAGGAGATTTTGGAGCACTTCATGCTTCCTTCCTCAGACGAGCTTTATGGGGATGCTGACTTAATTTTCCAGCAGGACTTGGCACCTGCCCACACTGCCAAAAGCACCAAAACCTGGTTCAATGATTACTGTGCTTGATTGGCTAGCAAACTTGCCTGACCTGAACCCATAGAGAATCTATGTGGCATTGCCAAGAGAAAGATGAGAGACATGAGACCGAACAATGCAGAAGAGCTGAAGGCCGCTATTGAAGCATCCTGGTCTTCCATAACACCTCAGCAGTGCCACAGGCTGATAGCTTCCATGCCACGCCGCATTGAGGCAGTAATTGCTGCAAAAGGGGCCCAAACCAAGTACTGAGTACATATGCATGCTTATACTTTTCAGAGGTCCGATATTGTTCTATGTACAATCCTTGTTTTATTGATTGCATGTAATATTCTAATTTTCTGAGATTGTGGATTTGGGGTTTTTCATGAGCTGTAAGCCATAATCATTACAATTATGACAAATCACGGCTTGAACTATCTTGCTTTGCATGTAATGAGTCTATCTCATATATTAGTTTCACCTTTAAAGTTGCATTACTGAAATAAATGAACTTTTGCACGATATTTTAATTTTTCGAGTTTCACTTGTATGTAGAATATAATGCTCATTGTGTTAGGGGACATTTCATCAGACCGGAATACCTATCTTACTCCACGCTCCTGTAGTCTTCCTCCCCACTGCTTTCAATAGTGACAGTCCACCAAATCAACTCTTTTCTGGTCATGTTACTTTCCCTCTTGCTGACATTATCACATACAATGCAGGACCTGTGACTGTTGCATGTGTATGATGACATTGTTCAATGTTCTTGGTTAAATATTTCTCTCCCTCAAAGCCCCCTAAGACAAAACAAGCATTATATCTTTTACATTTTTTTATTTTTTTGGCCAGGTCTGAGTTTAAAATGTTCATCTGCAGCTTTTGCTTTAAAAGTATGTTTGATGATAGTAAATATCTTCTTTCCCTTCTAGGCTGGAGAAAGTTGGACCCTTTCAGACAAGTGCCATACTGTCAGATGTCTGCCAGATGGCTCCACCAGTCTAGAAAGTCACCGAGTGAACTGCATGAAGATCCCAAAACCAATATGTGACAATAACTTGCCCGCTATTAAAGTTGAGGAGACGTGTGGCTGCCGCTGGGTGTGCCCATGTAAGTATTCATCTCTGTTTTTTATGTAAAGTAAAGGCACCAGCAGTGACTGCTGCACCAGCCTAGTAAGAGAAGCCACACCTGGTTGGATTTCATGCATGCTGTGCTTTCTGCCCAGACAACTCAGCAGTGCCTGAATGCTTGATATTAGCTATTGATCATACTAAGAAGCTAATCTGTCCTGACTAATTTAAGTCTTTTGTAAACACTGCACTAGGTTGGCTAAGTGGGATTTTGAAATTGCACATTTTTATTAGTCTCCAGCATGTATAATGCAGGACCAGAAGTCCTGCCTTGTAAGGGAGGATGCCAATGTGACCACCATACAACTTGGAGCATCAGGGAGTGGGAAAGAGCTCTGGCCACTGGACAAGAGAGTGATAAGTATAGTTGCTTTTTCTGTTTCCTGTAGATGAAAAACACATTTAATCTCAGTGCTGGAGGGGACCCTCTGGAGGGGACCCTCTTCGCTTTTTTTTTTGTTTTTTTAGTTTTAGGTAGAATAGGAGGGTGTTGAATCAGTACGATTAAGATGTCAAGAAGCTTTTGTTTATTTTAGGTTTTTGTTGAATTCAGAATTGCTTATTTCTCTTTACAAGACATTAGGCATGCATGAATGAGGTGAACTGTGGGTCAAATGCACTTTCAATAAATAGTGAATGATCTCAGAATTCTGTCTAAAGCTCTCAACAAATGTGTCCTTGACCCTTATATTGCTGTCTGAGTCTGCGCTGGGAAGAGTAACCCTCTCTAATTGTCATGCGTTCTATTACCACAGGTGCAAAACGTGCTAGGGAATCCAAAAATGTACTGTTGTCACCAGAAGTCTTTCAATGGAAAAAGTGGAGTTCCCTCACTTAGGAGAAATTTTCTCTTGATTTTCGTTGTGTCTGTGGAACAGGAAACAAAATTAATATTTCGTATTCGGCCACAAATAAATAAAAAACTGGAAGGGTTTTTTGATAATTTCATACTGTACTCTATCCAAAAATTTACTGTACAGATATATTTAGGCTTGAGATATATTAATAAGTAAGGCTGATTTTTTTGATACAGAACTGTACCATTCGAGGTTAGGGTACCCCTAGACACAAAATGGCACCTTGAACATTCAACTAGTCATGGCATAACCATGGTCGCCTAGTGAAGTTAAATCAGGGAGATACTCCGAATAGGGTTTTTTTTGGCTAATACTGGTAATAGAAAATATCTTGGAGAGCTTGCTCTTAGGCAGGACTTTTATTTTTCAAAGAGTAAAATGTCTCACAGTTTCACTTTAAACATATTCAAGCACATGTACTATATGGCAGGCTTACTTTTTGTCTGAGCAAAAGTGCCTAAATATGCATGTTGAAGGTCATTAAGTTGCTGTACCCTTTGTATTTTGTGTTAATAGGGGGTGGAACACCATTAGTAAGAGTGTGGCTTTACCATGTAAAGGCTTATTAAAGTATTCCTTACTCAGGTGAAACTTCAGGAAAGATACTGATATTTTTCCATTGCAAAAGTCCTTGGCTTATACAGTATATTATATATTAATACCATGCCCCCCTCCCCCAATAGACCCAGTGCTAACCTGATTATCTAGACTCTCATTCAGCACCATTCTGAATAAAATACTGGCACCACCAAGGCCAAAAATCCCATATTGTGAAATATTGCAAGCTCCGTTTAGACAAAAGAGTTATTCAAAATTCTTGGCACCATTTGCAGTGCTACGCTCGATGTCATCAAGGATGTCAGTAACTCCTACATTCTTACATACATTCTGCTGATTCTACTGTTCTGTACTCATAATATATTGTGCCAGCAAGGCCAATGGATTCCAGTAATACTGCCTCTTTATTAAAGTGCACTGTCTATACATTTAATGGTTTTGTCCAGGCCGTCATGAAAAGACAATGAGTACCATTTATTCACTTGGGAAGGGTACTTATACTAAACTGTTGAAAAGAGAACGTAAAGAAAAACAATGGATATTTTTAATGAACCCTTTGGAAGAAACATGGCTCATGACAAGCATAAACATGAGTAAGAACATATATGAATCACTCAAAGAGGGCCTTGCCCAATAAGGACTGTATATTATGCAGAAACAGGCAATGCCACAGTTTATTCAGTTATTAAAACAGCATATACAGTATATTGCAGTATAACAGCAAACAACAAAAAGAAAACTGTGTCGGCCACCGCAAACTCTCAACCATCATAACCTACCCTTAATGCCTTTCCAAGTTATACAGTCTGGACAAAAATCTCTAGAGGACACAAAACCTCCAATAAAGCAATAAACAAAGCAAAGAAAGCAACACTGGAAACTCAACAGAAGCCAGGAGGAAGTTCAAGATTTTCAATCTCACCTCCAGCACTTACTAGTTCCTCAATCCCAACCCTTTAGGGTCTTCAGCCTATATTTTTGTGCTTTAAGTAGACCTTCTTTGGAGGCATACGTACTATGGCAAAAAATGAACCACAAGACAGATATTTTGATGGCTAGGTCAAGAAGGCCACATAATCTTAATGGCCAAAAGTCTGTGGACACCTGTCCATCATACCAAAACCATGAGCATTAACATGGAGTTGACCCCCCCCCCCCTTTCCACATTTCTTTGTGACTATAACAACCTCCACTCTTCCGGAAAGGCTTTCCACTAGATTTTGAAGTGAGTTTGTGTGAAGTTGTCTATTTAGCCTAAGGAACAATTGTGAAGTCAGTCCTCTAAGTATTGCGATATCCTCCCACACTTCAAAGACTGTCTAAATTGGCCCCAGTATCTATGTGAGATATCGGTCTCAGTTTATAAGCTCCTTGAAGACAGGGAGTGATGTAAATGTTCTGTGTTTAAAGCACTGTGAAAATTGATGGTGCTGTAAAAAATTCTATAATAAATGCATTTTAGCTGTGTACTAGCTCTGTACTTACAGTAGAACTAAGGCCTTCCATTAAAAAATATGTGCTTCAGCACCCAATTATGAGTGCATCTGCAAGTCCACCGAATGCAGCTTCCTGTAATGGTTTGGCAACAATGCTGCAATGCTCCTGAATTCAGAGCAGAGCTGCCACTCACATTTAAGCTGCTCCTGCTTCCACTATAGTGGGTGAAAAGTTGTTGCAGGGGGCATGGCTTTCAGTATTGTCACTGCTGATTCACTGGCCTGTAGCTCATCAATCAGCACGTGGCCACACACTAGTCCTGCCCACAGCTTTCTGGATTGACAGCACTGCTTCTGCTGCTGAAACCTTCCCACTGTGACCTGCAGTGTCTAGAAGGGGGAGCATGTGAAACACAAATGATGGTGGATTAGGCTCAGTCAGGGAGCGTAAAGGAGTTTTTTTGTTTACTTCATGAGGCTTGTGCAACACAAAATACCTTAAAGTGGAACTTTGTTCAGAAAATTAAGTTCTGCTAAATCACTTCATGCTGTCCCCTTTTGCAGGAATAGCTTTGCAAAACATTAAAAATAAGTGTCTATGCTGTTTAAAATCCACTAACAAACTGTGTCACCCTGCTCTGCACATGCTCAGTTGCTCTCTATTTTTCGGCACTGTGCCATATTTGTAGAAGTCGATTTGCTGACAGCCTAAAGATCTACTGCTGCGCAGGGGCTCTGGGCTTCGGCAAAATGGCAGCCTACAGCAAAAAGAAACAGGAGCAATGCTGGAGGCAATTTACAGCACACACTAATTTTGGTAGCATAATTATTAATGTGGAATGTACACTCACCGGGCACTTTATTAGGTACACCTGTTCAATTGCTTGGTAACACAAATTGCTAATCAGCCAATCACATGGCAGTAACTCGATGCATTTAAGCATCTAGACGTGGTGAAGATGACTTGCTGAAGCTCAAACTGGACATTAGAATGGGGAAGAAAGGGGATTTAAGTGACTTTGAATATGGCATGGTTGTTGGTGCCAGACAGGCTGGTCGGAGTATTTAAAAAAACTGCTGATCTACTGGGATTTTCACGCACAACCATCTCTAGTATTAACACAGAATGGTCCGAAAAAGAGAAATTATCTAGTGAAAAGCTGCTGTGTGGATGAAAATGCCTTGTTTATGTCAGAGGTCAGAGAAGAATGGGCAGACTGGTTCGAGATGATAGAAAGGCAACAGTAACTCATGTCAATATGGACCAAAATCTCTAAGGAATGTTTCCAACACCTTGTTGAATCTATGCCATGAAGAATTAAGGCAGTTCTGAAAGCAAAAGAGGGTCCAACCCGGTACTAGCAAGGTGTGCCTAATAAAGTGGCCGATGAGTGTATGGTTCTTGCTAAAGAACACTATTTGTTATCATGTTGTTATTGGTAAAGTTCTGTTTTAATTTGGGACCTATTTAGACTCTCATACAGGAGCCTTTAGTTGTACTTTTACTTTTTGGTTGAGTTTTTGCTTTAACTTTGTTTTCATTTTTTTTTTTTTGTTTCCCTTTTAGGTACCTGCAAGGGAAGTTCCAACAGACACATTGTAACCTTTGATGGTCTAAACTTTAAACTCATCAGTGATTGTTCCTACATGTTGTTTGATGACAAAACAAATAACGTGGAAGTCATTCTACAAAACGGTGAATGCAGTTCACTGAGCCATCAGACCTGCATGAATTCTATGCAAGTGAAACACAATCAGGATGAAGTAACACTGTACCACAACATGCAGGTACAGTAATAGTAAGATTTCCAGGACAGCATATTAAAATAAAACCAACAAAAAAAATGAACTGATAATAAAAGTAAAGATATAAAATAGGCACCAAGTGGTGCCAAAGCAAAGGTCATGGCCAAGCCTGACTTTTACCAAAATACATCAAGATTTGCATATATCTTTAAAATGCCTGTATCTTTGAAGCATTTTAATGAACTATTTTCATTAAAGCCAACCTATTCTTGTGCATTTTAAGCTGACATCCAAACAGATAAAAATGCAAAATGTGTACAGCTCTTTAATCGTTCATTCATCATTAAATGTATTTATTTTAAATGCAAGCAGTGTAAATTGCTAAACATGACTTGGCTCAGCTTCTTGCATTTCCTGTACAGTTTTGATCAAATTGGGGGAAGAAGAAGCAGATAGGAGTAGAGATGAGCTCATCAGTGTGCTGCTTCTCCTTTCACTGTCCATTCTGGGGCTGAACTGTGTGGCAGACTGGATAGATAGAACTGTAAATAGAAATTATTCCTTCCAGTCCCATTATCTGCCATCTCATTTGATGGACAGCTGCCTTTAGTTAAACATGTAACAAGAGTGGGCAATTAAAGAAAAGGAGAGAGGGAGGATTAGATAACTGTTCAATAAATGCCTAGCAAACATTGATGGCCCATTCACACTAAAGTAATCCATTGGGTGCATGCATTATGGCATGTGTTGACCTGCATTAAGCATGGGCTGCCAATACACCGCAATGGATGAAAAAACGTGCATGACCCTTTTTTCAATATGCAGCACGTGGTATGTGCCTTGTGGTGCGCTACTGGGCGTTAAGTGTTGCACTCTACTGGGGTGAACAATAAATGGCATCGCTATGCACTGCACATAAAGCCTGAGCTGAATGGGGGAATCTGCACTCATTATAACCACCTGAGCAGATCTACTGAGGAAATGTTACTAGTATCTTAGCACAGACTTCTGAGAAAACCATTAAGCCAATCATAAAAGCAGGAAATAACCTTCCCGGGTGCATTCTGTACACCCAGAATGTCATACTACATTACATTTCAACTTTGAGCACAGTAACCTTCAGTTGAATATACAGTATTCCCTGATAGCTACAAAGTATATAAATCCCCTTTGTTAGCACCAAATGCCTTTGCACATTACCTTGTTAAAGCAGCAGTTACATCATCACTGTGCTGTACATAGCTTGTGCAAAGAGCAGAGCTATGGGAGGGACCCAGCAGACCCCACCCACTACAGCCTGCGGAAAACTACAGGAGTGGGCGGAGGCAAGACCAGTCACCCTGCACAAGGAGAGAGAGCAGCAGTGACTGGTCTTTATTACAGGAAGCTCCTGCACAGAGGTAAGATGTCACAGTGGATTACTGCACAGATCTAGAAAAAATACGCAAAGCACACCAAGTTTCGGATTAAAAACTCCATGACTCTTGTAGTTAGACAATATTTCTTGGAGTTTAGCTTTACATTCTTTGAGTTTTCGAAAATTATAATAACTGCAGATTTAGATGTAAAGGTAATTTTAATAACATTAAATTCTAATATGGCTTGTGTAGCCCTTTAGTATGCTATATTAATTTTTTTTTTTTTAAAAAACAAAAGTGGATTTTTCCTTCAAGTGAACTAAATTGGGGATTTAGTAATAACTCACAGACTGTAGTCAGAAATCTCCGGTTTGCAGGTTTTTATTGAGTCCGGGACATGTAATGTTATCTTGTTACATAATAAAGAATCTTAGAGGGGCTGTTGCTCAACACACAGCACCCAATATAACATCATACAGAACTTGCTGACTTCCCAGCGACCTCTGGCAGGGTGACTGCAGCAAGTGAGTAATCTCTGCTAAATGATGATGCACTGCAGAAAATATCCTAAACAGCCAGAAAATAATGTCTCACAAAGCGCTAAGGAAAATATTGCCTTACAACGACAACTTAGATTAAATGGATTATTGCCAGTTTCTACAAGTGCATATACATTCATGTTCATGTTTTTTTGTGTTATATTTTTATAAATGTGTAGGTGTGGTGTTGGTAGCCCTATTGATTTGAAGTGTATGTACAAACAACATTTCTTCTTTTTAGTATTTAAATACAGCGGGGAAAAGCTAAAATATCTACAGGTTTTTATTGCTATCTGTGTACTTGCTAGCAGGGGCGGACTGACCATTCAAGCACTCCGGCACTGCCAGAGGGCCCGGGGTCAGTAGGGGGGCCCCATGAGATGGCCCTGGTACCTTTCATTGGCTTTTTCATAGGCTTTTCTTTTTTGGGTGTGGGCGAGGACACAGGGGCCCCATGATCTCCTATTGCCCGGGGGCCCCATGAGTTGTCAGTCCGCCCCTGCTTGCTAGGGTGACCTGTTGATCATTATCACCGAGATAGAAAGTAATAGGAAATCCAAAGTTTTACAGTTTAACCACTTCATGTCCGGACACTTTCCCCCCCCCCCCCTTCCTTTCCAGGCCAATTTTCAGCTTTCACCGCTATCACACTTTGAATGGCAATTGCGCGGTCATGCAACACTGTACCTGTATTAATTTTTTTTAGCATTTTTTGAGACAGATAAAACTTTATTTTGGTGGTATTTATTCATCACTGGGATTTTTATTTTTTGCTATATAAATGAAAAAGTCCAAACATTTGAAAAAAAAGTGTTTTTCTTATAACATTTTGCAAATAAATAATCTTTCTTCCTAAATCTTGGCCAAAATGTATACAGCTATCTTTTTAGTTGAAAAAAAAAAACAAATTAGTTTATAACCAAAAATTATAATTTGTAAAACATTTTTTTGACATTCTTAGTGTGCTAGGTCAATTTGAATACATGGAAAACACTTTGCATGCATTTCTGATGATGAAAAAAGGCTCTGGATAGCATTTGGATATGGAACAGTTAAAAAACGCTTCTAAACGCAAACGCTTATAAATGCGGCTAGCTGCATTTACACACATTTACAAGCATTTGGTGTTTGAAACGCTGATAAAATCTACTCCTGAATGCAAGTTTGATGCGTTAAAAAAAAAAAACGACTGTAAACTCAACTGCCTGTAAACGACTGTAAACGACATAGTGTACATGGACACACAGGAAAACATTAGGGAGAGTTCAGGGGCTGCTGAAAAAAATGCAGAAAAGCTCCTGAACATGAGTTTATCAGCTGCAGTGTACATGAGCCCTTTACCAGAACAGGAAAAGAGGGAAATTTCACAATGCAGACACCTGTTCCTATGATAACTGTCTAACAAAGGATTTCCTTTTCCTAAAATACAACTAAAGTCTGCTGTATGACAATCTCACACGCTCTCCCTCCCAGACACTGCAGTTCACATTTGGAGGGTTTCTGCAACAGACGCAATGCTGTCAATCCACAGGGCTAGTTGTGGCCAAGTGCTGACAGATAAGCTGCACACTTGTGAATCAGCAATGACAAAGCTAATACCCACACACTTGCAACATTTTTTATATCCCACTTTAGTAAAAGCAGACACAGCATATGACTATGTGAAAGTGGCAACCTTTCTTCAAATTCAGGAGCAGTGCAGTGTTGTTTCCTTAATTTTACAGGAATCTGCATTGGGTGGACATAACTGGCAGGACCAGTGGTAACTTTGCAGGAGGACTATGAGAAATCTGTGAGGCCTCTTTCATGCGGGAATGTGGGTACACTAAATTCAGGCAGGTGAGATGCATTTTTAACTAGATGTGCTTCTAATATAGTACAACACAATACAAGTACAGTAAGTGCCAACGGACCCACACTACAGTGCACCACAATGCACTAGCCATACGCTGTGGTGCGTTTCATCTAAAAAATGGTACAGATTGGATTTAGCTTTTATTTATGTGCATTATAAGCCTTATTGCAGCGCACATTAACACAGAAAAAAACACTACATTGCAGTGCGTTGCCCTAGAGGAAAGAGTGCAAGTCTTATTTTTTCAACATGAACGGACTGCCTTCAGGCTTAACACATTGCGTTGCATTGCATTAATACGTTTGTGTTCACACAACACATCGTTTGGATGGGGGCTTAAGCCTTGATGTTATACAAATGAGAAACGCGTCAGTGGATGTGGCCTTGGAGGAGCCAAGGCTGAGACCATTCTTACAATACATGCCTGATGAAGGGGTCCTGTGAGACTCCGAAACGTTGCCTTGTTGTAAATATGTGATCGTTTATTACATTTTTTGGACCCATATTGGTGATCCTCGGTGTGCTGGTGACATTCTCCCTTGCTGATTCTGTTCGGTTCCAGCACCCATTTATATACACAGCCATTTTTAACGCAGGAACACGTGCATTTGGATTGTACACTTGCATTCTTACAATACGTCACACAATGAGCTGGCAGGTGTGCGGCACCTTTGTATCGCAGTACTTGAGTACTTTCTGGATGAGCCTTTTGGGCGCCTGCAATCATTCCATTTGTGGATCCCTGGAGCAGTCACAAAGGGCACACTGAGCGGTGCTGCAAGCAATCGGGCTGTTATAAAATTGCTGCTTCATATAAACCCTCATAATTATTATTTCTGCTTAGCGGCTTTTTAACTTTATGCAATTGGGTGCATTTTTTAAATCACATCCTGAACTCAAGCACACTAGTACACACCATTGTCTTCGGTTCCAGTGAGTGCTTTAAAAAAAAGTATAGCAACATGCATTTGTTTGCACCAGAAAATACATACATGCATGTATGTATAGTCGTACACGCAAGCATAAAAAAGAGGGGAAAATGTCTGCATACTAAACAGAGATTTTTGTATTGAAGGAAAAAAGCAGCAAAAATTGAACCGTAAACATATTGCAAATGTATTTAAATGCACATGCAGAACTGTACACTGAAAGTGGGTATTGTGGAGTAGATGAGCCTCAAATGTAGTTGCGATGTATTGACAGGTTTTACAATTCTTGCAACAAATGTAGATTTTTTAGAAGGAATCACTGTTTTAAATTAAATAATGTGACTTTTTTATTTGCAAAAGCCAGCCATTTTTGTAACCTGAAAAATAAAAATTAATCTATTCTATTTTTTTCAGGTATCTGTCAATGGAAAATCAGTCACCGTGCCATATCACAGCAGTGTGTTCGAAATTGATGTGTATGGAGCTGTCATACATGAAGTCAAGATTCCCAAACTAGGATTTGTGTTTACATTTACACCGTCAATCAATGAGTTTATACTGCAACTTAATCCCCATGTGTTCTCTTCAAGTACATCAGGACTTTGTGGTAGGTACTGGATAGATGATGACACTGTAGATAGATAGATAAGATTTACTGTCAAAATAAATTTACAACAAAATTTCTGTCCTACTCTACCCATTACCCGTAAAAACGATACATCACACACTCATTCATAGTACATAAATCAAATCAATATCAAAAATACTAAAACATTCCATTTTAGAAATAGGAACATCTGTTATAATAACAGTAACCCTGAACCATCTGGCTCATTAATTGAATTTCATTTCCATATTTAATGCTTTTATAGCCCTTGGAGAAAAACTCTCTCTGAATCTTAGTCCTTTCCTTACTTTATGTTTCTAAACCAGTGTTTCGCAACTTTTTTTCAGTTAAGACACCCTTTAAAATCATGGACAGTCCCAAGGGACCCTTTAAAATTATGGACAGTCTTGAGGCACCCTATTTTAAAATGGGGAGCCTCAAGACTGTCCATAATTTTAAAAGGGCACCCCATTCTAACGTGAAAAAAACTATTCTAATAGTTTTATATGACGATCAACATCCACACATGTAGGACACCTAACATTAGAGGTGATTTATTCTTCCAAAGCAAATACACTTTTTTTTAAACTAGGATGCTGTGCAGGCAGCTGACATCCCCCTATTAACTGACTATGTCATTGGTTGTCAGGATGCCGGGGGCTAGAAGGTCATAATGGTGCACAATGAAAACCTGTGGCTTTGTGTAACTAAAAGGCAGGCTTGATCACCTGCTGGCTTGTATACAAGTTTTGGGCAATTTTTATACATTTTGCCAAGGCACCCCTGAAGAAACCTCAAGGCACCCCAGGTGCCTGGGCAACCTGGTTGGGAGAGGCTGTTCTAAACCATCTACCAAGGAGAAGTAATTCAAATAAATGGAGACCAAGGTGGGACAAATCTCTCACTATTTCCTCTGCTCTACATAGACAGTGATACTCATAGAGAGAGAAGTTTACAGCCCTTAATTTCCTGCACAGTATTATTTTCTGCAGAGCAGTCTTATCCTTCACTCAACAATTAGGGTACCTAAGTAAGTAAAACCACTAACTATCTCTGTTAACGTGTCACTAACACTAAAGCAGCCCATAGATTATACGCTTTTTCTTTCCTTCCACTCGTGTGGAAGGAAAGAAAATCATTTGAATCCCCCATCAACACAGTCAGTCAGTCAGTGTTGATGGGGGAATGGCTCCTGCAGTTCTATTGTGTGCTGTATATTTTTCAGGCTGGGCTGCAGACAGCATGGGAAGCCAGAGTGGTCAAAGTAGGTAAATATGAACCTGTGGGGTGGAGGGGTATGAGACATCACTAATTGTATTTGGGGGATAGGGAGAGGGGCTGTGGAGATTTTTGATTGAATCTGAACTTGTACTTTAAAGCCAGCCATAGATAGATCGAATCTGTTTCAGCAGGGACCGACCAAGATTTGATCCATCATTGGGCGGGCTGTCAGATTTTTTTTACATGTGATTACTGCCGGCAGCTACAGCCACTAGCAGTAATCATTGTGTTCTGCAATGGTTACTGCTAATGATGTCTCATACCCCTCCACCCTGCAGGTTCATATTTACCTACTCTGACTACTCTTGCTTCTCACGGTGTATGAATCCCAGCCGGTAAAAAATCTACCTCCAGACTGCTTGCACCTGCACATTGACCTCCCAGAGATAGGACAGCAAGAATATTTTTTTTCTTGATAAAAGGAAGTCATTTATTGCTGTCTTTTTCTTTTAACCTTGGTGACCACTTAACTCATCATTTTTTGTTCTGGTGTTGCTGTAACAGGAACTAAACAGAAGCTTTCTCAATTAAGGCAATAAAACCTAGACACAGGCTTTGACCCTTCCCTTGTTGTCAATAGTATTGATAGCATGTTTTTGATATGTTCAAAAATCTATTTACTACAAAGGAATGCCCCTTTTTTGTTCCCATAGTCTTACAATCCACGTGGTAATGTTTGCATAGTAGGCCTCAACCTCAGCTCAACTCAGCTCTCTGACAAGTCAACAAGAGCACCATTTTTCCACCCAAGGCAGTCTTATTGGTCCATGATAAAGTAAGGCATGACACTTGGGTGGATGTGGCTTCAGCTCTGATTAGACTGGAGGCTTGAAATCATGGGGCTCAGAAAGGGCTTCTTTGTGTTGTAAAAGTACACATAGGTACCCCAAGATACTATCTGTACTGTAATGTCTACTTGTTTACAACCTGTGATAGGTTTACTGTAATGTTGCACTCTTCTGGTTAAAGCATTATAAAAAAAATTTCATTTTCTGATTCTTTGTGCAGGTGTATGTGACCACAATTCCGGCAACGATTTCACACTAAGGGATGGCTCGGTAACTAGAGACAGTAGCCTTTTCATACAACAGTGGACCTTGCCTGACCATATGGGTAGAGAATGTAAAACTCGAATGGAAGATGTCTGCATCCAACCTCCCAGCCCCCATTGTAACATCCTGCTCTCCCAAACATTTGAGGCATGCCACTCCAAGATCCAACCCAGCACCTACTTCTCCCTGTGCCAGGAAAGCAGCTGCCACGGCAAGACTTCTGTGAGATCATTGCTGGATACAGCCACCTTTGCCGAATACACGGCGTGTGCACAGACTGGAGAACAACAGACCTCTGTCGTGAGTACCTATTGTCCTACTTTGCTGCAGAAAAACATGACATATCAGTGCTTACTGTAAAGAACTTGCAAATAACTGGTTTACTTTAATCCACCATCCCTGGCCACATGTTGTAACTTCTTTTCACTCCCCCACTGCTTCGTTCAGTGCTGGGAGTGAAGGAAACACTTGGCATTTCCATGTATGGAGATGTAGGTAACTTGCGCCAATCAGCACTGTAAGACCCCATGTATACGGGACACTACTGAATGATGGAAACTGACTGCTGGAAAACATAGGTTAAAAAATGTCCGTTTAGCCATGTTTGCATAACACGTTTATATGCCTTTATGTGCGTTTGCGTTTAGAAGTGTTTTTTTAAAGATAAGCACAGGAGAACCTTCCAAATCCCAGAATGCACTGAAAAGTGGTAAATTATTAACTGTTTCAGACTGTTTCAGAGAAATGCAGAGAGTAGAAGCAGAGACAGCAGTATGTGTTGAGATTAGTGTGAGTTGCTCAGTAGCATTTCTTTTGTTTCCAAGGGTGGGAAAGTTGTCTGGTGGAGTGAGTCATTAAGGCCACCTGGCAGGGGGTCTTCATGAGGAATTTGAGGTGTGAGTGGTCATTAACATATCTTTTGTTTCCAAGGGTGGGAAAGGTGTCTGGTGGAATGAGTCATTAAGGCCATCTGGCAGGGGGTCTTCATGAGGAATTTGAGGTGTGAATGGTCATTAACATATCTTTTGTTTCCAAGGGTGGGAGAGGTGTGAATAGGTCATTACAATGTGTGACAAGCTTGGTAGGAACATCCTGTGTTCAGTGTTTTGTCCATCTGAGTACCTTGAAAACGCTTAGCATGCATTTTTCATGTAGAAAAAAGGCTCTGGACAGCATTGGGAACTGGAAGAATTAAAAAAAAATTTCAGACGCAAACACTTATAAACACATTTCGTCGCGTTTAACCTTGTTTAAAAGCGTTTTGGATTTGAAACGCTGATAAAATCGACTGCTGAAGTTTTCTGTGTTAAAAAAAAACGACTGTAAACTCAAATGCCTGAAAAACGACTGTAAACGAAGATGTGTACATGGACACATAGGAAAACATTAGGGAGAGTTCAGGGGCTGCTGAAAAAAAAACGCCGAACAGCTCCTAAATGTGCGTTTATCAGCTGCAGTGTACATGAGCCATAACACAACAAGAGTATTGCCCTGTGTAAACTACAAATCTAGCTGTTGCCCCAACTCATCTCCTACCCACCAACTGTCAGTCCAGAAACAGTGTTACATGCGAATCTGACATTCTGCATCTCTGTTCATTATCATAAGTGACACCAAAATATTAAATCTGAAGTTTAGGTAAAGCAATTTTTACACAGTTACATTGGTCCAACTTAGACAAATGTAAGTTTGTATGTATCATCCTATGGGATCCCGTAGCTAGCACCACTACTATGGTGGTCTACACTATGCATTCATTGAGCAGTTGCAAAGTGTTCCGTGAATGGTGCCTCTGCCAGCAAAGTGGCCTCTTGTGTTCAGTAAGCAGCAGGGCAGTCTCTCGGCACAGGATCTGAGAACTAGTGGAGAACGGTGCACTTGCGGTAACTTTTAAAAATTTCATACCTAAAAACTTCAGCTTTAAATTACAAAATATCTGAAACATAATCTCTTTACAAAAGGGAAAAAGGGTAGTGCTTAATCAGTATAGGAATTAGGCATAGGAGATAGAATTCAACTTCATCCCTCCAAGGTAAAATTCATTGCTGACAAATGCTATGCATATTAATTTACTTCAGGTACTTATATAGTGCCGTCAATTTATGCAGCACTTTACATATATATTGTACATTCACATCAGTCCCTAACCCTCAAGGGGTGTACAATCTAAGGTCCCTAACTTACATTCATACATACACATACTAGGGCCAATTTAGACAGGAGCCAATTCATCTACCAGCATGTCCAGGCAGGTGGTGCCATGGTTGGGGTTTGAACTAACAACCCTAGTACTGCCAGGCGGAAGTGCTAACCATTTAGCCACTTTACTCAGTTCTTTTGCAGTAATTGATTTTTGCAAGAACAAATGTGCTCCTAAATCCCTACACACAGTACTAGTCTGCATATCATTTATGTATTTATGTGGCCATCTAGGCTACTTACACTGCATGCCAAACTATCAGCATATTTAGAGGTATAGGGCACAGTTGACTTTTCTTTTACTAGTACAGTAACAGAATGGGAGGAGCGCTGGGCATTTGGGTAGAAGGATTGGTGGGGATATGCTCAAGCTTAGTTGAATAGGGAATAGTTCTTGGGATTGGTTGGCAATTCCCTATTCATACAAGGGCCTTACAGACGGTCATTGTAGAAATTTTCAAAAATAAGGAAAAGCAGAAGCACCAACCCACTAGTAAGTGCCCAGAATGATATTTATTAGACATAGCAGTCAAAAAAGAAAATCAAAGTGCATTTTGAAAGCTAAAAATGCTCACCTTCTTCAGGGCTGAGAAGTGATAGTTGTAAAGTCTGGACTGCTTTGGCTGATATTAGTAATATAAATTTCTGTCCCTCATATAATCCAGCAGTTTAGTAGCGTTGGCATGCCTTTGTTGACTACTACATCTAATAAAGACCATTATGGATAATTACTAGTGGGTTGGCACTTCTGTCATTTATTTTCTTGTACAAGGTTGGCCCAGCTGTTCCTACCTCTCGAGTCTACCATTGGCCCTTTAATGTAATGACCACTCTCAGAGACCAAAAGGAAGGCAGGAAGGGACAGAACCAAGATTAATGTTTAAAGGAGAAGTCAAGATTTTCATATGACTTCAGCTGCCTGTATCTCTGGATCTACTGATCCTTTTGACAGGGTGCGAAACCCTGTGGCCCCTGTGGCATTCCATAAGTAACGATTGGTAATCCATCAATGAGATCTGGAACAGCTGCTGACTAGTCTTGTCATTGCCCCTTGTTCTGACATCACACCACCAACGCTGGATTCTTAGGCCCCATTCACACTTGAGTGATATGTAGCTTGAAGCTCCAAAACGTTTGAGGATAAAAAAAAATCAATTATTCTCAATGGAGATGGTTCACATCTCCACTCCAAGTTGCCTGAAGCCAAATGCCTGAAGCTCAAACAAGTTCTGGAGCTTTCTTTGTTGCTCAAATCAAGCAGACATGTGTTTTTTTGAGTGTATTTAGTTGCATAGAAGATAATGGAAACGCACGATTTGTGCATTTTTTGCACATTTTTGCGAGTATTTGTGCATTTTGTCTCGCGTTTTTCTGCTCAAATGAAAAAAATTAAGAAAATTAGTAATATTATATGAATAAATAAATGTAAAAAAAAAATACATAAATAGATAAAAATAATCATAAATAAATAAAATTATATGTAATAATAAATAAATAATATTTAGCCCCTAACCTTAACCCCCTTTAAAAAAGTATTAAATAAATTATGAATAATAATACTACTACTATTATAATACATAAACACCCAAACCTGAACAAAAAAAATAATGATAATAATAATTATTCTTGTTTATTTATTTTGTGTTAGGGTGTTTATTTATTATTATTTTGTTATTAATATTATTATTATTATTATTATTTTAAGGGTTAGGGGGTTAAGGTTAGGGGTTATTTATTTATTTATTATCTTTTATTCATTTATTTTATTTATGATTATTTTTATTTATTTGTGTGTATTTATGTTACATTTATTTATTAATTTATTATTATTATTATTATTATCACCCTAACCCTAACAAAAAAAAGATAATAAATGAATAAAAGTAAAAAAGAAATAAAAGCTGATGGAAAAGATAAAAAAGCTGGAAAACCTAGCAACAAATGATGCAACAAATAATATTTTTCTCTATTGGCTAATAAAAAACTGCCAAAGCTTAAAAAGCTGTATGAAGACAAGCAAAAATGTGCAAAAATCACGTGAAAAAATGCACGAAAAATGCTGAGACTCTACGCTCAAGTGTGAATCCAGCCTTAAGGGCCCTGCTGATATACAGCCAATGGAAATTGCCCACATCACCAGGCAGTGATGTAGACACTCTAAGAAGGGCCCAGGTCAGGTAACCACATATTTAGGTAAGTAAAATTGATATCTAGTTTAATTTAGTTTAGTTGGGGGGGGAGGGGTTTGTGGGGAAAGGGATCCCTGGCCACAGCTGAATTTTAAACTTTAAACATTTTTTTCTAAATCCTAACAGAATTGTTGAATGCTAAAATACAGAATTAAAGAAACCTCCTCAAATATTCTTCAATACAGTAACAGTGTCTGCTGGATTTTCCATTGCCTCATACGACGCAGCTAATATCCAGCATTCTGTTCAGACACACTAAGTCTCGGCATGTTTTAAGGGGAGTCACCCATATTAAGTGGAGGTTTCCCTTTTTTACCCTTTAGAAGTGTGAGCTCTACATGACTGATAAGATAATAACACCTGATGCCATCTGTCTGCACTAGGTCAATAAAAGTCTTTCATTACAGGACACCCCTGAGTCAGATAGCATGGCTGTGTCACTGCTTGTATCGCAGCTTAATGTGAACCACCCCGGAGGAAAAAAATATCTATATATATCTTATAAGTATCTCAAAGTCCAAAATCTGATATGCTCTGCTTACATATAACACACAACAACTTTCAAAGGCTCTAAGGCCGGCCATACATGGGTCGAAATTCGACCGGTTTTTCGTCCGAAAATTGGATGTAAGAATAATCAGCTGATTTTCACTCTGTTCCTGGGTCAATGACACTGGGCGATTTTCGTGGTTCCTCCCCTTTTCGGTGATCGGTCATGTTGGAAAATTCGTGAAAAACTACCAATTTTCGACTCAATGATGGTCAAATTATATGTTCGTTTTTCCGAAAAGAATATGCGCATGAGCCATGACCTGGAAGGAACAGAAATTTTGCCTGTTATATGGGGTGAACTATATGACTTGGTCGGCCAATTTTCGAAATCATTGATGGCACCAGAGCAAACGATATTTT